ATTGGTTACCTTCTAGTTTCTGACTCGTCCGCACTTAACCAACAACCCAGCATACGTGCTCGGTTGGCCTTGTTTCTCTATTCGTTACCTTTACCGTTTCTACTTGTTGATTATCTTACGGAGCCTGGAGGGGGCGATATACCTTCGACGTGATATACAGAGGACCTGGATGGTCATTGAGCATATGAGTGCTTGGAAGACACTTAGGGTAAGTGTCCTGTCTCGAAATACAACTAACTAGAACCCTAGGTACGATACGAGAGAAGCCAGGTTGTGACAGGATGGCGTTGTTGAGCACAAATCCACGAAGTAGCGTGTCGTGTTGCGAAGGCGTCAGGTTGGGTGTGGGCCATTATGATGGGGTGACAGAAGTTGTGCCTGTATAGTTGATACATGTAAAATATAGCGTAATATGCCACTTTGGTACCATACAATACATGTTGAAACAGATTATTTCGGTACCTTTCCTATTATGGATTGGCCTATCTTGGCACTAAGGTTTGAAAACCAATGAAAGAGTGACTTATGAGGGATGACACCAGTTTCGACTCCAACTGTAAACACTACTGTTTTCTTCCTGTAGTATGAGTCTCTACAATTGAAAGTATATAATCTAAATGATCAACATTCTGGGCATACAACTGGATTATGATAGAGAATGTGCTATTATGGCTTATCTTGAACACTGCTTATTTTACCTGTCAGCCCTAAGTCCTATCTCCGAGTAGCTTACACCCAACGTCAAGATACCAGCATTACAACATCAGAGACTACAAAACCAGGAACAGAGCAGAATGAACTCGGCTTCGTTCATGACTGTCGATTTGAAACAACAGGCAACATCTAAACCCCCCATTTACCAGCTGTATATATCTTGTTGCCCTCACCTTGCAACATGACCATTCCATCACAACCCATCCTCAACAACGAAACAAAATGCGCTTCTCAAACGCCACTATGGTCTTAAATGCCACAATGCAAGCCCTCATTTACAACGGCACTCCCTACAAGGTAACAATCGCCAGCGTTCCCCGTCCAACGATTCAAAACCGCACTGACGCTGTCGTCCGCATTACAACGTCCGCCATCTGCGGTTCCGATCCTTCACTTCTACCATGGCCTCATGGGCGGAACTCCCCCGCACGTGGTTGGCCATGAAGCAATTGGGTATGTGTCTGAGGTTGGAGACGCAGTGTCGTCGTTATCGGTGGGTGACTATGTGGTGATCCCGGATAATGCTGCCGCGGGACATTTGGAGATGGTGCCCGAGGCGTTGGATTCGTTTGGGGGTGGGACTGGGCTTGGGGGATTGCAGGGTATGCTTCATTCTTCCCTAACTACTTGCTAGGTGAAGTTAAATTATTGATTGATGAAATGCAGCTGAATACGCCCTCGTCCCCTTCGCCGACAACTCCCTCATCCCTGTCCCGCTGACCCACAAAACGACAAACTCCTCCATCGAACGTGACTACCTAACCACCGGCGACATCTTCGCCACTGGCTGGAGCGCCATCGACTATTCCGGCTTCCAACTAGGAGACACTGTCGCTGTCTTCGGTGCCGGTCCCGTTGGTCTCCTCGCTGCATACACCGCCCTCCTCCACGACGCATCCAACGTCTACGCCGTGGACCGTGAGCCTATGCATCTAGAGCGCGCTGCCTCCATTGGCGCTATCCCAGTTAACTTCAATGAGTCCGATCCTGTGCGACAAATCATGAACCACGAACCAAACGGCGTCACCCGCGCCGTGGACTGCGTTGGCATGGAAGCCGTCAATGCCCGCGGTGATTCTGACGAAGGTATTATCCTCCGCAATATGATTGACGCAGTTGCTCAGAATGGCGGCATCGGTCAAGTCGGTGTATACATGCAACAGGAGACTCCCCCTGCTGCGCCGCTGGGAGATAGCATTCCGCAGAATGTGTCATTTCCGATCTCGGATTTCTTCCTTAAGCATCTGAAATATGAAGCAGGGGTTGTTGATCCGAAGTTTTTTGGCGCCGCAGCTTGTTGAGTTGGTTTCGGCAGGTCGGGCGAGGCCGAGTTTTATTTCGACGGCGGAGACTCGGATTGAGGCGCCTAGATATTATGAGCAGTTTGACAGGAAGGAGGAGATTAAGGTGTATATTCACTTTCCTTGATCGGTCGAATTAGCGGATAGAGTGTTGGTGTTTAAAGTCAAGATATCAAAACCGTGATGATCCAAATAATCCATTCTGTTTTACAACAAAACAATATGTTACAGAGAATAAAACTGACAAAGTAACTAATGGCTACCCAATATCAACCCCAACATAAATCATTTAATCATCAATCAAGATAGCACCACCACCATCCGCCTCATCTAAGATGATGGGCTGTGTGCCGTCGTCTCCATTCGCGGCATTGTTCGTATGAATCCGTTTGACATCTGCATCTTCTTGGTCAATTTCTGTCTCTTCGAGTTTGCGCTTCACGCCTGTGGCGTCGTTGACAGTATCGGGAACGGTAGGAGGTGCTGGTGTCGGGGCTTTAGGCTTGCGGGAGATGTCGATGGCTTTCTCCAGAGAGATTGGCTTCTCTTCGTTCGACAAGGGAGACCTACTCATGCATTGTTAGTCAGTTTCTTTTAAAAATGCATAATAGCGCGGCTACTCACTCTTCCGGAGCCTTCACGATTAATTCAAGATTCACGCGCGGTTCATCATCTTCGTCTACAACAGTCAAGAAACTTTCGTCCTTCACACCCAAGTCGAGCAATTTCTTCGGTAGATTATCTTCCAAATCGGGGTCGTAAATAGTGCCCAGCTCATTACTGATTGAAAACTCTTCGCCGTACCCGAGCTGAGAGCGGAGCACATCTTCGACCAAGTCGTTCAGTGTGGTACGCCTTGGGTCGATTGCCACACGGCCCATTGCGACCGAACAAACTGGGCAGTTAGGATTAGGTGCTTTAAGAGAATCGGAATTGATGGCACGAGCACCGGAGCGTTCCAGGAAGACCATTTTAGCATTAGCATAGTCATCTTTCAGAACCTTCATGGCCTGTAGAACGCAAAGACCGGCAGTCATAGCGTTGGTAGTGGCGATAGCAGGAATAATGTTACCGGCCATTTCTATTTTCCCTAGTCAGCATGTGCCAGCTAACCCATGCCTCGCGCGAACTCACGCTTCGTGTCGAACTTCGACTTCGGATCGATACCAAAGATCGCAGCTCGCAGGTTGGCAGTAGCCGCAACAAAGTCCAAGGTATCAATGTCATCCTTGTCGAAGTCTAGAACGGGATGACTGTCGCCCATGGCTGTCTCCTGAAACGACTTCAGTCTCTTGCTCAAACGATCCAAGCTGTCTTTGAAAACGACAAAGTCCTCCGCCAACGACCACACCTTCTGGTCGTTGTTAGAGATAGTAACTTCGATCGATGAAGAGTCTTCCTCCAGCTTGTCGAAATCAAGGGGCTCCGGTGGCTTGCGAGTTTTCCACATATCTTCCATCCCTCTCAACCGTTCAATATCCTCCTTGAACACCTTCTCAAACACCTTGCGGGGGAATTCATCGGTACCCATGGACTGACGAATCTCCTTGAGGGCCTGTGCTTCTCTGCGCAAGTTCGCAATTTCCACTGCTATTCGATGTCAGTAAGTCGAGGTGTTTTGGAAGCGGGACTTGGCCTACCGTTCTCGGCTTCTTCGGAGCTGTCAAGCTCTTCTGTCTCATCTTCGCTCCTCCCAAACAACTCACTGAAAAAGATTAGAATCTCTTGATCGTGCAAACATGAAGTAGAGCTCATACGGGAAAAGGTAGCTCTTAGCCCAGACAATGCAGTGGATCGGCTGACTGGGCGTGCTCCGGATAGTACAGACGGGGAACGACTTCGGGACTTCTTTGGAATTGCAATCGTAACATTCAGTTTGGCCCTGTAGATTATCAGCCAAACCGCACAACCCCCATGCATCGTGTCGCATCGCATTATGCCCACCTTTTTTATGACCTGCACCTGACCATTAAATCCCGTAGTTCCGCTTTCAATCAAAGGCACGCCAGCCGCCAGACACATCCGATTCACATAACGCCGTGCGTCGAGATTGTCCAAAGCATTGAACACCAAATCAAAGCCACCAAACCAGTCGACGTTAAACTGACTGTCCTTGATGTTGGCATGATACGCTTCCAACTTCGCGCGCGGTTGAAACTTGTGTGCCACTTCCTTCGCAACCTGTACAGCAAACGGCGACTCGTCAGACAAGGGGAATTTATACGGTTGCTAGGGGGAGAAGTCGGGGGGGAAGGGAGAGGTCGACGGGGATGGAGGGCGACGGAGACGCACCAGTGCTTTGGGCTTCTTGATGTGTTCGAAACGGAAGAGAAACTGGCGATTCAAATTGCTCAGGTCGATGGTATCGAGATCGATGATGTGAATTTCGCCGAACCCAGATAGGAGGAGGTTCTTGAGCAGCTCGCAGCCGATGCCGCCAGCGCCCACCAGCAGCACACGCGACTATAGATCAGACAAAAAAATGTCAGTAATGCGATCGCGTAAAGTAAATTTGCGAGAATAATGGAAGACAAAGTTCATAGCCAGGGGATACCTCTTTGATGCGCCTAGCGAGAGTTCCGACTGAGCGCTTGAGATAAGTATCTCGCGTCATGGTTGCAGGATACTCAGGAAAATGAGAAAATCATCACTTGGCAAGACAAAAGAGACGTTGTGGAGAGAGGTTTACAATATTGGTGAAGGAGATAGAGGATAAAGATTGACGAGTTGGAGAGAAGAAGTTGACGAGAGAAGAGAAAGAGAGCTCTGGGAAATCCGGAGATGGGCGAAGCTCCGACACAGCTTCTACTGCCGAGTTAATGACCCGCCCACACCACTGTCTCCCACTACTGGGCTTATTTGGATAAAGAATGGATAACGGCAGTGAATAATCAAGGAACACAGGAGTAAGCAAGTAGGCTGCCATTCCTGACTGAGAACTGCCAACTGACACTGGTCCAGGTCTGACCACCCCTGTGGATATCCAGCCAGCTATACAGCAACACAACCAAGGATTCACTTATTGTCTATGTAAACGAACACCCGGATTCTTGAGGATCCTTCCTTAGGACCTATACCAGCAGATGCGTGTCTTTCCGGACACAGTCCGGAGTACAATAAAGACACAGCAGTGAGACGCCATGCAGTCCGGATCTTTAAAAAGACGAAGATCCATGCACCTGCATCGGCCAGACCTTTCTTCTTTAGCCAGACCTTGCCATACCTGCCCAAAGCTCTGGTGTTGGTGTTTCAGGAGGCAATGACGACGGGTTGAAAGGAGCTGGTGGAGTGATGCTTCACGCAGTATTCCGTACAGATACCGTTTGCGCTACTGACATGTCTTAGTAGGTGGGATTTCACGAGATGGGAATAAGCGACAGCATCGACAGAAGTAGCAGAATCGGCATTCTTGCCATATCATTGATATCATTCGCGTTAACTAGGCCACGGGATATAAAGCTGAGCTATACCCATCCATGTCTCGTATCATGCCCATGCTCTGACCATACCGGGATACTCACAGACCATTTCTATCACTGTCATCCTCTTTTGCTAGATAATCTGGACCCTATATCTCCATATCTTTCCCTTGATAGATCAATCCTCCCACATGGTCGACCTCTGTCTGCTTAGTAAAACAGTGTCGCAGACTCCTCTATTGTTATGATAAATAATATAACTATAACTATATTTTTTTTTTTTACAAAAATATATATATATATATATATAGAAAAAGAACTGTTTCAATTTGCCTCATTTTCCTTGTTTGATGTGTCTCTTCTCTTCTTTTCTCTCTGTCTGCCCAAGAATATTTCCTCGTGGAGAAATCTGTGGACTCAATTAAAAGCCTCTCGATCGCTCGCCGTGGAGAAGGCCGAACTTTTTCTCTCCCTCCTTTTCACACCCATTGCAACATCCCTTCAACTCCTGATTGTGCGCTATTAAAGGCCAGCAGCAAGTTAATCTCATAAAATTCACGCCAGTCGATGAGAAGAGGCACCATGTCGGACGACGAAGCGGATCCCGAGCTCCTAGCTCTCCTTCGCAAATCGCTCGGTCTCGGCGGAGGTGCAGCGAACCCTCGCGCGGCGGAAACAAAGGTCCTTGAGAACGCTGAATACGTATACAACAACGCTATTGATGTCGCCCTAAGCGCGGGCAAGACCAAAGATGTCGCGGAGACCATCTGGCACATTATGCAGAAGAAAGAGTACTCGACACACACCTGGTCGGAGCACGAATTGCACCCCAAGTCCAAGGACGAGAGCACGGTTGATTTTATTTTCACGATGGACCTATTGAACTTTAGTTTCTGGTCGGAGGAGCGCGACGAGAAGAAGCAGTTTGCGATCGAGTATCGTGGGAGGAAGTGGACGGGATATTGGAGCTTGGTTGCGGCGTTGCAGAGGGCTTTGGATGAGGGGATTCCTATCACGGATCCGGAATACTGGGTGAACGAGGATGTGTGTACGGACGACGTAATCAAGCATGTGTTCCGGTCCGTGACGGAGGAGCAGATTCCTTTGCTCCCGGAACGGATTCAGTGCCTGCGCGAGGCCGGACGGGTGTTGTGTAAGGATTTCGACGGCAGTTTTACGAATTGCATTTACAGCGCACATTACTCTGCAGCATCGCTTGTCAACTTACTCGCGGAAAGCTTCCCATGCTTCCGGGATGAGACGACCTTTCACGGCCGGAGGGTCCGGCTGTACAAACGAGCTCAGATCCTTGTAGCCGACCTCTGGGCTTGCTTTAACGGCGAGAGCTACGGAGAGTTCCAGGACATTGAGAAGGTCACCATGTTCGCGGGTAAGTGCCATTCTAGCTTCTATGAGAATAACGGCTAACAATATCAGACTACCGCATCCCCCAAATCCTCTACCAATTCGGCTGTCTGATGTACTCACCACCATTAGAAAGTCACATCAAGGACCTCAAGCCCATTCCCAGCGGCTCGAATTGGGAAATCGAACTCCGCGGCGTCAGCATTTGGTGTGTGGAGCTCATCAAGCGCGAAATCGAAAAGCGACATCCAGAAGTGAAATCCGTCAAACTACACCCACCACCTTCGAATGAAGAAGCAGACGCCCTCGAAGATGCCAGGAAATGCACGACGCAGAAACACTCAAAACACAAAAAGAGTGTGCACGAGCCACCGGTTTCCGGGATCAATGCGATTCTGATTGATTTCTTCTTATACGATACTATGAAAAAGGTTGAGAAGGATGGGAGGGAGACTATTCCTCATCATCGGACAAGGAGTATCTGGTATTGAATTTTTTTTTTTTTTTTCTTCTCTCTTCTTTTTTTTGATGACTTCTATTCTGCATCATATACCCTCGTTTTTCCATACTCTCGTTTTAATGGTGATCCCCTGGGGTTTTGCTTTGACCTATAGAATATTCTCTTCATATACATACTTTATGCTCTGGCAGCAGACTATTTTAATCTCTGGATGATGGATATTGACGAATGAATATACCAGTTATATCTGTTCTCCCTCCGCTCTATTATCCCAATATCTCCACCCTTCCACGTTCCATGTCAAATTTCTCATACTAATCTTAAATCTCCTAAATTCATTTCGTGCTGACTTAGTGGTCATCGAGCACCTTTTTATCTGGTTGGTCTGGACTAATGAATTCTAGATTGCCTATATTCTTGCCTCTTCTGGACTTAAAACTGAGCAAACAACCAGATTCCCCTGGGTTGATCTGGTACGGAACAAAGTCCGTTAAAACATACCAGAGAGGACCTCCCGAACAGCGGCAACGAGGGTTGACCAACACCTTGGAAAATGAAGGCCGGCTGCAGGCTCTTCAACTAACAGCCATGCGTCGAGTGTCAAGATGGAATGTGATGGCTATCTAAAGATCACAATCTCCACGAATGAGGAACAGTCAAGAGGAATAGAAGTTGACCTTTTCGAGTCACAAATTCCTCGAGTCTAAAAGGGTACGCCGCCTACCTTACATCTAAACGGTGAAATGACTGGATGGCATGGGGTAGACTTCTGCAATCGTTCCAGTGAAGTTGAACGCTTCCGTGCAGCGGAAAACCGAGTATGAAAGCAACGGATCACAGAAGAAATGAGATCTTTGAACAGACTAGAGCCTGGAGAATTACTGTTTCTGTTTATAAAAATCAAGCAAAACAGCTAAATGACACCTGCAGCAATTGCCGGTGGTGGAGGACCGGTCCCTGAAGTTCTTTACTATAAGCAAGTTAGGCGTTACAATTGAAATGCCGGATCTAGAGAACGAGGAAGCTGGCCATTGACATATTTCTGACTTGAGATGATGCTTCCCTCATGGACCCAAGAACCCCAAAAATAGGCATGGTGTTCCATAATTGGCATGTTGAGAACTGACCACCTCTTTGCGGCCATGCACGGCCAAAACTCTATGGATGGCTTTTCCGAACCGGAAAGTGAAGAGAGGCCTGCTAAAATCGAAAACTCGGGACATATCCGGCATGGTTATCAAAGATAGCATTCCCGACCATCAACTTGTGCATCGGGTGTTAACCTTGAGGCACATCTGGCAGAAACACAAGGAGAAAGACAGAACTCTGGAATATATTGGCCCATTAAAGGGCAACAGCGTTCTGGGTAAGGGAAAGAGAATATTTTCAATGGCGAGGAATTTGCCATTGCCTCAGACCTCCTAGGGTGGTAGTGTCCAAAGAGCACTGGCCTCCTGGCATGGATGAGGAGTGACAACAAGAGTACAAGGTCAAGAAGTATCTTGACCAAATGATTAGCCAGAATGCTCTTTGGCATGACACGGGTCTATCACCTATTATCACCATTGTATGTGAAATGTGTATAAATGCATATATAGCATCAAACCTAGTCAGCGCCAGGGCACTATAATATCAATTTGGTTTATCATTTTGGGTATCATTAAATTGCAAGATTACTTATGCCGAAATGTCGCCCTAAGCACCAACCCGACCAGTCCTCTCCATCTGTTCAATCCTTCCCATAATATCCGCCTTCCATTCCAAGTAATCTTCCTGCCGGTCCTCGCTCAACCAATCCACCCGATCCTGCATCATCGTCCCTAGTCCCGGAAGCAGACCCTTCCTCGAGCCATTCAGCAATCTATGACCAGACCTTGGTCGCTTTGCGGTTTCCCCTTCATCAGCAGCGTCATCATCCAACTCATACTCCTCTTCACCGTCTAGCTCGCCGGCCTGCGGGATATTTTCGAACCATTCCTGTCCGTGAGCCCAGTTCTGTTCCATGATGAGGGCGATCCACTGGTCGATATCTGTGCGGTGTCGGCGTTCATTTGTGGGGAAACCAAGACTGACGAGGGCTGTTTGACGCATTTCGGAGAAGGTCTTTTTGTCCAGTTTCTTGGACTCACCGTTCTGCTCGTCATCTGTGTTCCGCCGGCGGGCGAGAACGAGGAAGTAGATGGCCACAACTAAGGCGTTAATCATTTCTTTGAAATCCTCATCTTTTTCCAGATTGCTTGCTGTCATGACCGGTTCAAGGAACTCTAGCATTTCCTCATCGAGATCCGCGTCGGCATCATTGTTCGATATTTTCGAGATAAAGAAAAGAATGGAGGACGCGCCAGTGAACATATGCGGCGGAAACGTTTTGGAGATAGGAGGCCGGGACCAGGTACTTGTTCTTGGTGCCGGGGTTGACAGTGTCTTACACACCGTCCGGATGGAAGCCATCACCCATCCCGGCGCGTCGGGAACAATCGTCGAGCCTGGAAGACCATTGGGTCTAACCTTTTTTTCCGTTCTCTGCGGTGTACGTGTACGAGAAGGTGAATCGACATTGCTAATCGCTCTTTTCAACGGTGTAGGTTTGCTTGGGGTGTTTTGGAGTCCACGTGGCGTGCCTGGCACTGCTGATTTCGATGGTGTCCGGGCGAGTGTCGTTCTGTCCTTTGTAGGTGTAGATGGGTTCGGCCCAGCGCGTATAGGAGTCCCGGGTGCTGAGGTACTAGCCGAACGTTTGACTGATGTTGTACTTGAGCCTAGAGACCGATCCAGGAAGCTATACAGCTTTTTGTAGACGCGTGGAGGACAGGGCGGATGGCCTAGTAACGGAGGTAACCGGAGGGCTCGACCTAGCCTAGAATTCAGGATATTAGAAACCATCAAATCAACATTTTGCTCAAATAAATGTTAGCATACCTCCGGCAAGCAATCTCAGCACAAGCATATGGCCGCGCGATCTCCTCCTCGGGCTTGAGGCTGGCCGAGAAGCTTCGCGATTGCGCGACGAGAGACGAAGCTAAGCTGACAAGTTCTGGAGGTAGGTCATTGGCGTGAGTTGGTAGTAGTGTGTTTAATGATTGCTCGACTGGTCTATTGTTCATTTTGTCTTTTGGGGAGAGGTATGCGTGGTTGAATCGGAGGAGAATTGAAGATGTCCTTTCTTGGTACCTGTTTGCCTGATATGTGAGGCATAAATTTTCCAACTTAGTTCTAACTACAGTACGTTAGCTAGTTATCAGGATGGAGTACAGAGTACTACCAATTGCATTCTTGTCTACAACTACTTGAGTCTGTTCTTCTATATTACACTCACTTGCCTTCATTCTTCTCAATGCTAAAGCCTGGTATATCCATATTATCCTCTGTCTGTGAACAAGGATGGTGAACAGACAGGCAACGCCTTACGAGCTCTAATCGATGGAAAGGCCTATTGGGCATGGCGCTATCCAGCCCAGGAGAGTATAATATCTTTCCGGCAAGTGCAAGCTAGACTTTGCTAGATTATGCATTCTTGCTAGTCCAGAAGTCCTGACTAAGAGAGCCACGACTTATCATATCGAGAATGAGGCATAGAGTGCATACTCCGGGCCGGAACAATGGCATGCAAAGTGACAGTAGCGTATTAATGTCTGTGATGTGACATTCTGGCATTCGCATAGATCTCTGCGGAGCTTTGGAATATGCTCAAAGTAGAATTCCTACTCGACTTCCGCAACAAGGTGAGAGTCGGATCTTGACTTCATGAGCGCGGCAATACACTGGGCGCAAGCCTATAACCACTCGTTTGGCTCTATCTAATTTTGTACTCTACGGGGTGCTAATAGCCTCAAGGTATAATAATGTTGATAGAAAACCCAGAGATGGCCCACATGGAATCTTCACTTGCAAAATGGTCTCTTGATGCAAATATCACACCTGATATGCTAAGCGACATTGTTAGTTTCATGAAAACGTTCACCGCCACTAAAATGGGTTTGAGCAGCGCAAATACGTGGCCTGAAGAACACGATGAAAATTTGTTGACTCCATTTACCATGGGCGATCAAGACAGTTCCCTCGGAAGAGAACGCCTGTCCTATATAGGACCAAACCCAAATAATAAGTCAATATGATACCATGGGCATGAAGAAGATACTATATATTTGTCGCCATCAGGCAGATTAAGATGAAGGAATAAGGCCCAAGATGTCAAGACCCCTTTTGACAGCAAAATGGCCGACCGATACACAGAATATGTCATGGCTAACAGGGGATTTATGCTGACAGCAGCAGCAACAAATGGTCAACTGGCGGTGGCATTGTACGAGCAATAAGCAAGAAAGGTGAAAAGGCTGACCCACAAAGCTTCAAACTGGAGCTACTGATTTTTGCACTAACACAAATGCTACCTGCGAAACCTGTCTCTGGTATTTGGGACCCTTGGAATCACAGCGTCTGTCGGTGACCTTACACATGAAGCCGAAGATATCGTTAAGCATCGCATCTGCCACAAATGGAAAATACCTGCAATACAGATCTCGTTTTAAACAAGTCAATATATCGCAGGCCGAATGGTGGTGATATATCAACCGCAGTACATCATGTGCCAGCGCTAGACGCACTGCTACAAAAAGAGAGGCTTGGGACCGAATATGAGGAGTGTCCCAGGAGGGAGACACTCTGGGAATTTATGCACTCGATTACAGAGTGATCGGGAGTGAGAACTGCAGAACGCATATTCACGAATCAAAGCTGGGAGGTCATTCGATCAGAGTTGGCCAAGTCTTTTTGCATTTCAAACTGACTTTGAGGCCACAATGTCGGAAGAGCACCAAGGAAACGAGTTCTCACGCAGAATTTGAACCGATGATCATTAACTCTGCACGAAATAACTATCAAGAGACATGGCCATAAGGCGGATAAGAAAATCCAGTACGCTGTATAAGGGAAGTAAGCCATTCTATTCGTATCTTGATAGCGTTGATTATAGTTGACAACAGGGCAAAGCAAAATCCTGCAGGCATATCCCAGCAATATGTTCATTGCTTACATGGAGGTAGCAATGGCGCGCATAGAAGCTTCAACCTGAATTAAGGTCAAGAGAGCCTCTATATAGGCAGGGTTCAAAAATTTATGACTAATGGAGCACTCGGACTGTACAACTTCCGATGCTAGAACCATGTTTCAGCTTTCCAGCTGGAAAAGAGGATAGCGCTTTCAATGGGGCAAGGATGGTTACAAGCCTTTGCTGCAAGAAAAACTTCTTTAGAAACGCGCCGTCAAAGAGTGTATCTGTGGCGAGGAAGTTACAGGAGCCATTTTAGGGTTAGTACCTCATGTGGTATTTTCCCATTCCTGGGTTTGTTTGAGTCTCTAGCTTAGCAGGAAATGGCTACATAAGAATGGATCTCTAGCAGAGTATTCTAGCCATATCTCCTTAACTGTTTGTGAGGGCAATAGTAAGAAAATCGTCAATCTGATTTCATGCCGAAGAAGGCATCACCACTCCTAGGATACAAGCCTTATCCCAAACAAAGAGTCCAATCTGAGAAAGAAGGATTCTCTGGGGCTGGTTGACGAACACTGAGTCAGAAATCCCATCTTAGGGGTTGCATACAGATTTTTGCCGAAGCAATACCGGAATGGCTCGAAGATGTTGTCAGCTAAGCTGAGTAAAAGTTTCCTGATGTTGGGAGAGGAGGTAATGTGTCTTCCTGTACTCGACGAATATGCATCTTGTATCCTGTAGAACCAACTCTTTAGAGATAATTTGTGCGTCAAATGATATAATCTTTTCGAAAGCGCATCCCTTTCCTTTGCTATAGACGTATTTCGGACGAGTTTCATAAGTTGTACTGATAGGTAGGCTACCCAAAGTACTGCGTGTTCCAGACAACTAGGTTGAGAGCAATTAAACAGCACTCAACCCGCCATCAATGTTAAGAATGCAGTTATTAGCGTACTCATTCTGCGCCAGAAAGACAGCGGCGTCTGCGATTTCATACGGGTCACCGAATCGACCAAGCGGGATCTCATCCTGAAGACGAGTTTTTTCACTCTCACGGAAATCTTTCCAGTAATCAGCTGAAGCTCCTATAAAGGGTTATGTACGACACTTACTAGCAATCATTGGAGTGTTAATATACCCCGGGACAATGGCATTCGACCGGATAGCCACACCCCGCAAGGAGCTCGCCGCCTCAACCGCGAGCGAACGGGTTAGACCAAGTACACCGGCTTTGGATGCAGCATATGGCACCGCACCAGTTCCACCTTTGTGCGCTAGTAGGGAGGAGATGTTTATTATGCACTTTGAAGGTATTTCTGTGGTGAAGCCGCGGTTCTTGGAACGACTACGGATTGCGGCGCGGAGCAAGGCGCGAGAAGTAAGGATCGCACCTTCGAGGTTTGTACGGAGAGTTTGGGTTATGACATGTGGATCGGTTCTAGCGAGTATATTCGTCGTAGATATTCCTGCGGAGTTGATAAGGATATCGACGTCTTTCTATACAAACATCAGTTGTCTACGTTTCCTCTAGATAGCAGAAGCCGACCTACCATGCTTTCCTCCAACTCTCGCACCCATGACCCAGACTCGGACACATCCCCGACAAAAAAGCTTACCTTCCGGCCCTCCGACAGCCCTATCCCCATAGACTCTTGTTGATCATCCTCCGGTGCCCTGGTTGCTAGTATCTCATCACTCCCATTCCCAGTCACAACTCCCTCCGGAGACTCCCCTAATCGCGCAGCAGCATCCACAAGCCTCTGTTGTGATCGACCAACGAGTATAATTCTCTCTGCGCCCTCTTGTAGAAACCGATCTGCGATTGCATGTCCGATTCCCGATGTCGCACCGGTTATCATGCATGTGCGGCCCGAGAGGCGATCGGAAGGTTTGAATCGGGGTTGTCGTTGTTGTTGGTTTTGTGTTTTGTCATTCGTGCTTGTGGAAGAGGAGTAAGGTCTTTTGAAGAGGGATAATCCTAGAAATGGTGCTTGGGTAGAGCGAAATTGGTGTAATGTTGCTGCGGTTGCTCCGCAGAGGCGGGGGAGGGGTTGGAGATAGGACATTGTGTTGATTAGGCTATTGGCTGTAATAGCAATTCAGTTGATCCTTCGCAATACGAAGAGCAATGAAAATATTCAAGCCTTATACAGAGGACGAACAGAAAGCACTGTAGCAGAACCTATACCGACAAGGGAAGACGTCACAGGAATAATTCCGCCGGAGCTTGACTGAGCACGGGCCACACCGGAATATTCCATGGAAACACGGTTTTTCTCCAACTCTTTTCCTTTTCCTCCTCTACACACAAGCATAAGCAGATAACAACATGTCAGAAGCAACACAGCAAGAATACGTGACTCTCGTCTCCGGCGACGGCTTCGAGTTCGTCGTCCCGCGCAGCACAGCCTGTGTTTCGGGGACAATACGCCGCATGCTAGACCCATCCAGTACTCTCCCCCACCTATCTCTATTGCTCTGCGACATCTGCTGATTATAATTTACGAATAGGCAACTTCTCAGAGGCCATCACAGGGCGCTGCGTCCTCGAAACCCTGAGCGGTGTGGTCCTGGAAAAAGTATGCGAGTATTTCTGCTACAACCAGAAGAACAAGGAGCAGGCGAATGTGCCCGATATGGAGATTCCGCCGGAACTGTGCCTGGAATTGTTGATGGCGGCGGATTATTTAGATACTTAGGTGCCTTAGTATGTCTGTTTGCTATGGATTGGAGAGGATTGGTGCTGACGGTTGACAGCGAAGACGTGTTTTGGACTTGATGACTTATGATTCGTACGACCTCTGCTGCATTGCATTTTGAACATAATGGAGATTGGAGTTTGTGGATTGATATTGGGTGGCGTTAGGTTTGGATAATCGAAGGCCACGGCCAGGTTAATAGAGGACGATGCTTCGTTCCCCGTTCCAGTCTCTACTAGGATGCAGTTGAACATCTTGTTTGCTGTTGACGCCATCAGAACATCTACATCCGTCCTTTGTCCCTCCAATTCAATTTATGGACGGGTGTTCTAAAGATGATGGCAGATTAATCGCATGACAACTCCCTTTTATTCGGTCCTTATCCGTTCAGTGGATATCAGGGCCTTATTCCAGGGGAGACACGCATATCTTCTTCTTATTCCATAGAAATGGTATCAACTTTTATTTCCGGGGTATCTATCTAATGCAGATCATCACTTAGAAGAAAGAAACTATTTTTTGGGCCGCGGCCGAAATCCTCCCTTCTTGGGACCCGGCGGCTTCTCCGCATAAACCTTCTCCTTCCCAAACGCTGCATCTCCAATTCTCAGGAAACTAACAACACCCTGATCCACAACAGCAAGAATTACATTCCGGTACCCGTGTCGGAGACGCATGTACATCATGCGATCCATTTTCTCGCCCCGCGGGGGGTCTAACGGTGTGCTTTCGAGGAGTGCGCCGAGCTGGGCTTGCGTCGGCATGGTAGTTTGGGTTCTGGAGTTGACAACTGCGATTCGGAAATCGGGAGTTGGAGGGGCGGATTTGCGGAATACGGTTGAGGGTTTGTAGACGTGGAAGACGACGCGGAAGGGTGGTGTCGTTTTGCGACGGGGAGATTGGCGTGTGACGGGGTCGTGGTAGGGGATGATGGCGAGTTTGCGGTAAATGTCGTCTGTATTGAGTTAGCGACGACGCGTTTTAGGACTTGGGAGAAGGGTACGCTTACTGTAGCTCCGGTGCAAACCCAATCCCACCACAGGACCAGTAGTCGTAATCCCCGTCGATTTATTCCAGTTATGCAGCCAATGCAGGAATCGGCCAAAGATCCCTAGACCCTGCTGCGGTGCACTGTCCTCATCTTGTACCTCATCACTCTCATCATCCCACCCTGGCGCTCGAATGACCGTATATCCCAGTCGTCTTAATCCAGTATATACCGAAAACCGCTCCACAGATAACCCCCCTCTCCCAGTAAAGCACGCATACGCTGCCTGCAAACTCATCGGGATCCCCAGATCTTCTTCACCTTCTTCAGCAGTAGGCCCTGTGACAGATACCGGCCACCGGATATCCAAACTGCCACGTTCAATGAGATATAGCGCTTCTTCGGGTAACAGCCATACCCGGTTCCAACGATCTGCCCGGCCCATTGATTTGAAGTATTGACCCTTGGGGTTGGGAACGTAAACGCATGAGTCCTCGGGAACGCTTATCCCTGTTCCTGTCTCTGGACTTCTTTCTTTCGTTAGATTATGCTCGTTATTGTCGTTTGTAGCAGTCTCCTTCTCGTCTTTCTCTTCAGTCACGTCGATCGCAGGCGGCGGTGCAGGTCCATCAGGCGCATAGTACGCGATAACTCGATGCTTGGGATGATGTAACCGCGGATGCGAAAGCGCATTGTGCATAGCGTGACGCGACGCATCGAGGATATCGGCCTGGTAGTTTGTAGGATTTGGTTCGAAGTCTTTTTCGCCGCGGCGGGGGAGGGACGTTTGCGATGAGTCGGAGGGGCTGCACAGTCATTATTGTGAGAATGGGTTCTTTTTTACATGATTTTATAATTAGTGTAAATGCAGCGGAGGAGCTCACAAGGCAAGGTTATTCAGGAATCTGAAGTCCTGCGTCTCGTCGGACAGGTCGGTTTCGATTTGCGGCGCGGAGTCCTGCGAGGCTGGGAGGTGGGCTGCTGCTTCGTCTGTGTCGGCCATTGTTCTTATCTCTTCTTATTCCTTCTTTCTCCGATAAGCTGTAAAAATATTGAACAAATAGGCCTTTGGTCCAGAACGCAGAACGCGGGGAATATGCTGAACTGAAAAAGAATTTACGGGCTTATCGCCGCTGCGATAAGAATTCTAGTTGAGCCGGATTAGGCATGCCGACAACAAGCTTGGCCATCACTACGATTTACTAGGTGCTTCGTCCAGTTGAGTCTAACATCCATTCAATACGAGCAGTAATTTCAGAAAAGATCTAATACCTTCGGTCTGCGTCCATCGCGGTCTGCGGCACCTGCGTTTCTTATCCCAAGTCCCATGCTGTCCATCATATATACCTTTGGGAAAATCTCTCAGCTTTCAGCTTCATTTGACTGAGTCCAGAGCTCAGTGCTAAGGTATTCGCGGCCTTTTTGACTCGTTTCTTCGCGACTCTCATTTGCTCTTGCTTGAAATGATATTCATGCAATTTATAGTAAATATGTTTTATGCTCAGGGCAGTAACAATAGATGGTTGAACGTTGCTGTCATAATGTGAAGGCTGTTATCGCTCCCTGGTATAAGTTGCCTGACAGCTGTTTGCACTCTCTAAGTCCTTTCAAAGGCGTTTTAATACCATCCAAGCTCGTTACTTGTTTGCCTTCAACGAGTTCCGCGAATCCAGACAAGACCGCGATGAGTTTTCTCACCAAGTACTGATTGTTGAATGTGGCTACATTTCAGTTGGATGTGAATGATTAAACCCATCAGTGCCAATAAACCTGTTTGGCACCGCAATTTTTCCAACTTCCTGCCACAGGTATAATCGCTATAGCGGGTATGGTCGGTAAGCTATTGTTGCCTGGTGTGTCGCTGATGTCGACTAAATAATTGAAGTAATGATGCCTAAGCGCTTGAGCTGGTGGCCTCTTGGAGTTATGCCTCAGTGAAAACATTTATTTACCAGGATATGTTACTATCCCAAAAACATAGCTATAGAGATTACAACGGCGTCCATGTTACCACACCCACTCAGAGAATACTTTATGATATACTCCGTACAGCGTACAATTCGCATTTACCAGACCATGGTCGTTTTTGGCAACTCTCCCTTTTAGGTTTAGCGCCGGTGTGTCGCGCACCTGATGTGGTTTAGTGTATACCTGAATGGGATTAGCCTCCCACCCTATACTATGAAGGGAATTGCTGTCCATCTCCGCCTTCACGTCGTCCGCCGACTATAAGACCGCTGGTGCGTCGCTTGACGACCACTTCTTCGCATTTCCTTTACTTCCTTTGCCAACGCCGCCTCCGGCTCCCCGTCAGGCGCACCGGATCAGACTGCTCTGATTCCCACCATCTCCACGCTATCAGAGATGACCGCATAGCATATATACACCTCTGCTCGGTCCGACCCTTTATCCAAGTAGACTACCGTACCACAGTCCGGGCTCCTTGAACAATTTGTCGCCATACGCAGTGAGGGAACAGTTCAGGTAAAGCATGAGACCTATGGGTAAATAGCAGCTAAGGAAGGCCTGGGGAGCTCTTGATTCTGGGCCCTCAAGTCAAGCATACACCATAGACGTATAATACTTGCGGCGCCGCCCGCCAACCACTTAGCCGTTGCAACGATGTCAAACCGTACAGATGCCTGAGGTGCCGGCATTCAGCATCACCTACTATTTTTGGACAGCTCTCGCGAGCTCCACCACACTCTTTAGATAGCAGCTTTCCCTGATTTTGGCTCGGACGTAGATCAACTCTCTGGACGATTGCCAGATGGATTCAATAGCACGTTCTATAATGTCCATATAGCTTCATAGCAGCTCCTTCTCTCAACCTCCGGATCTAATAGTATCGCTGCTGGATTATCCGCAGACCCGACTGTACCGCTCTACAAACGACAGCATATGACATAACAATTTAATCAACCAATCAACACACTTATTCATATGCTCACATTTCTTGGCGGCAATGGCGGCGGTGGTAGTACATCCCATAGGTCTTAGCATCTCTGGACTCTAATGATCATCTCTCGTCTCACTACATCCTATTCCTTGCAGATTTCTTTCTTTACCTGACTTGAAATAGTTCTGGATGGAAAATTGACACGTATTGCCTGCCTGTGTGAACAAAGCCGTCAGCAACCCTTCTTTTTACAGTATTGTTTGTCAGGCAGGTGCACCTCTAGTTCTTATCTTTCAATGGCTGCCGCCATCACCAGCTGGGTGCTCAACCCAATCCAATCTTTGACAATGTCTCGACCACGTACTCGCAAACTATGGTGCGCTGTCCCTAGCAATCTTAGAGAGCCATTCTCCGTTGTGTGTTTATCGGACCAGGACGATATTGAGACACTCAAGGAGAAAATATGGGAGAAGATAAAGGAAGAAATCAAGAATACTACGCCTCATTATGGCAAGCTCACTCTCTACAGCCCTGTGATGCAACTCAATCATGAAGAGGAGTTCAGGATTGATGATGGTGAATTTCTACATCCACGCCGAATGATCACATCCAACCCACTCTTCCCCCAAAGCAAAGATCCAGATGTGGATATTGTTGTTGTTGTGAGCGGAGGTGCCACTACACGGAAACGGAAACGCTCTGAATCACAAGGTGGTGAGAATGATTTTCTTCGTCGTCATCGTCATCATTGTTCTTCAAGGTTATGACTAATAAAGACCGTAGCGACAGAGCGCGACCTCATATGCCCTCGGGAACATACAGTGTCAGAGCTTGCGGCCACTTTGGATGAAGTCAATATAGTCCATATCCGTGGAACCCCAGCAAGCGGCAAAACACGTCTCTCTGAACTTCTGAGGGACCACTATCGCAGAGAGGGAAGAAAGGCTTTCTTAATCACAGACTGGGTAAAACTCAATCCCATGGATCCTTGGGGCAGTTTTGTCAAGCTTATCAAAAATTGGGATGAAGAACTACAAGGTTCTCCCATCACTAGCCTTACCTCAACTTCATCAGAACCAAAACATGATTCCTCTTCGGTTTTGACAACAAACACTGTTATTCTCGTGGATGAAGCACAGAAGACTTACAGTGATACTGTGCTCTGGAACACGATCTTCAAAGCAAGACAGAAGTCTTTCTGTGTGTATAATTTTCGACTATGTCTTTTCTGCTCTTACGGCAGCCCAGGCACAGGCCCAGATCAAACATTCTTTACTCCAGTTACCCTTTTCAACAAACAACGCATTTCGTTGACGCCACAAAGCCAGCCAGGCTCACCATCTATAGGCTTATTTTACAGCAAAGAAGAGTTCAAGGATGTTGTTTCACGATTGATTAGGTTTATCTCTAAGCAAAAGGAAAAGTTCAATTTTGATGAAGGTGCCCTGGAATACATATTTGTGCTGTCAGGTGGTCATCCGGGAGCGGTTGAATCCCTAGTCAATGTAATTTTCGAGGTACGTGCCCAGTTATTTTTTTACTTTTATGTCTCTCCCACCCCCAATAGTGAGGCATGATGAGAAGCTTTATCTAAGTCAAGAAGCTAACAATTTCAGAACTACCGCCATGACATCAAGCATAGACATCTTAGAACCTTGACAGAAGATCATATCATCTGGTTCCTGGAGGACACCGCCAGAGTCTTTGACAAGCTTAGTAGAGAGTCGGTTGATCGCTCTTTCCCTCGTATAGAGAGGTGCACAAGCAAGGTTTCGAACATATTGAACAAAATTACAGAGGAAGGAAGTGTTCCATTTGATCTCAATGATGCAGACATCAGGTTCTGTTATCAGAATGGTTGGGTTCACAGGGTAGCTCTAGATGGTGATGATATTGCAGTTCTACCATCACGCTTACATGAAAAGTAATTTTCACATGTCCCTATTGTTCTTCCATGCTGACCTGCTTAGATACATTGAATATTCAATTGGCACAATGTCGAAGCCCCTGCCTGCCAGTTTTGACTCGCTACAGAAATTATGCAAAGAGATTCTCAGCAAATTCTCCATTATGAACTTGAGGCACTCAGCTGAGGGCAAAAAAATGTCAACTGCATCACAACCCAGACCAATGGAAGCTCAATATCAAGCAGAGTTCTACAGGGGCTTTGTCCGTACAGCTGGACAAGGTGTACCGATATCCAGTGAATGGTCAAGAACCAGACATGGTCGAGTGGATTTCTATATCCCAGAAAAGAAATGGGCCATTGAATTGTTGAGAGATCATATTGAAGTCAATGGACATATCTCTCGATTCAAAGTGGGTGGAAAATATCATCCCTGGCTAAAAGAAAATATGGTCAAGGATTGGATCATAATTGACTGTGCAACTTCTTTACCAACCAAAGGTGTGTTCTTACCCAGTGTTCAATTCATCCATGATTTTATTCCACTGACAACATGATAGAATTCTCTGAGCCTAGGCTGTGGCATGCAGTGTTCATCAATGATTATTCTGAATTGCAGCTGTATAACCATCAGAGAGCTCTTATGATGTCTGTGTATCTGCATAATTGAGAAATAGCAGGTGTGATATGGCTATTATACTGCTTACATGCATATTTCTTTCATTGTGGTGTGACGGCTTGACATCTTGACGTCGTGTATACGACTTGACGTAGCCCATACGGCTCGACACTGCCTACAAGACTAACGATGACAGACGACACTGAACATGAGCAGAACCCTGTCGTACAGTGGTATAAGAAAGCCTCCATCCTCTAGATAGGTTCATTTTCTTTCTTTCTCTAGACTCGATATTTTCGTCGATGGCTACAATAGTTTGAACAGGAATATCATTTCGTCAGTACCTACCATTTCTGAGCCCGTGACATGTGGTATATTTGTTAGCTGTAGCCAACTTCTCGACTAGCAAGCAATCAGATGAATTCACCTAGTTTCTTTGCCTTGCCCCTGTGGCTTCTTCTTTTCTTTCCTCTCCAGGGCTGATTATTCTCGTGGTATGGTTACTTGGTTTAGATTGTGAATAGTATCTCGCTTTATCTACTAGACCGAGCCCGTGGAAACCAGGAAATACTCTTAAGAGTCACAGGTGAGTCGATGAATGAGAAGGTAGATTTATGGTCTTGTATCTAGAAGTAAAAATGAAAGGTCTAAAGATAAAAAAAGAAAAGAAAAAACCATTGACAAGGTGCGTATGCAGTCAACCCCAATACATAACCTTTGGGAAATAAAACTAGAGCTTATAGGAAATGATATCTATACCTCCATGGTTCCAAACCCTGATTTGAGGGTTGGTGTGATAGGCTACGCCAAGGTCAGTACTTGGAGCAGGTCCTCGTAAGCACGTGACAGCTTGGTTAGATGCCCAACCCACATCGGGCATACCTTCACGCGGACTCTTATATATTAGTCTTTGATCTCGACTGGCGTTCTTCTTTCTTTCTCTATCGAGCCCTTCCTGTATATAGCTAAATGATAGTTTCCGGGGTCTAGCCCCTTACAGTTGGTCATGGGAGCTTTCAATTTTCTGCGGTTCTCAGCCCTAGTTCACAGGATAATTGGGTATGTTCCAAGGAGCTTACTCAAAACTCCTTGGACTCAGATCGAACCCAAAAGCGGACTGGAACTTCACCTGGATTTAATCTAAGTAATTTGACAGAAGATGAAAACATGGCCACAATTGACCGTCAGATTGAAGATGTGAGCACTTGGAGCAGGGGGTTTTTACTATGTATGAGTGGCCATAGAGTATCACACCCCTCATAGAGCGCCCACGCTAATCGCACGAGCGCCAAGAGTTCATACCATCTCGCACCATTTAGGGGAATCCACCTGACTATTGACCATACACAAGCCACCTGTTAGGCGCGGCCAACCGTCAATTCGGCCCTTTTCTCATTGCTGCTCTAAGGGTAATGACCGGGTGAGCATTAGTTGGGTGCAGGTAATTGAGTCGATGCCTTAAGAGTTGAGGATGACTGTTGGGATGATGAGCGGGTGAGCAGAGCCATGCAAAATCAAACAGTGCATATAAAAATTATTCAGGATAAGAAGGCCATCCCTCCTTCCCGGTTCATTCCTATTCCTCAGTCTGTCTCTACTCCCTGGACCGTTCCTACTCTCCGGTCTGTCCCTACTCTCCTCGGTAATTAGAGCTGGCGATGAATACGGAGAATAAGTTCCTGGCTCAGCCAGATAAATTGATCTCTCAACATCCTATTTGTCGCTTACAAAGCGCCGTATTGGAATTTAATTATCTTCACAAACTTGGCTGCCGAACCGGATACTCAAGGGAAGTGCACTAAAATAATGTTGCTTTAGGTTCCATGCCCCTTCTGGTGTTGCTAGATAAAAAAAAAATTCATCCTTTCAAGTGATCAACACCTTTCTTAAAATCGACTGTAAAATAAGGGACAATCTTTTATTCAAAAGATTCCTTAGCTGACTCCATTTTTGACTTCTCCATGGAACCACGAGCTGGACTTGATACGCAATCTTCAAAGGAGCAATTCCTGAAATCGAGACAGTTTTGCCACTGGGACAGATGACAATAAAGCTAACAGCTGCTAGTTTGCCTGAGAAACTTTTTCATCCCCTCTGCGATGAGTTCAACCAGAGAAATCAGAGGTCCACCGCAAGAATCCTTCTGAAGAGAACTTTGGAGATCCTTGAACTGGAGACTCAGCAGCGCGTTTCCCCGATGAACAGTGAACATACCAAGGAGATTGAACAGGCACACTTGGATACGCTGGAGCCATAGATAGAACTTCTTTTCTTGCGTAGACAGGATGGTTTCATTAAATGGAGCAATATCTCAATATATACCGGCGTCTTCTTTCCAGGTTGAGTGTCTAGCCCGTTCTTCTGGACTAGATATTTGATGCCCTGCTACTAGTTAGACCAGAAATTCCGGCAGGTTATAAGAAGTATGGCTTTCATTACTTACCCTCCTCACTTCTGAGCCATCCTCATCATTAATTTTGGTCTTGGTTATCTTCTGGTAATATCCTCGAAGGTTCTTCCAATCCGTCTCCAATGAGCTGGACTTGTTGATGTCCTTTCAATCATCGGCCCTCTTTTCCTCACTGGAATTTAAGACATCAGCCTAAGAAAAAGTACATGTCATTGTTTGACGCCTGGCGCAGGGCCTCCTCAGGTTCCCACCATTTTGGGATCTCAGACTCCAGACATGTTCTGCTGTTACAGTACCTATAACTTCATCGGCAGAGACCGACTGAGGCTAGGTGGCGAGCAGATGAGGATCAATTAAATGGCAAAATAATCAGAAAGGAGATACTAAATCAAAAGACATGTGGCATTTTACCTATGAGAAGCTACCTCATGAAGACCAAGGAGATTAACCAAAGGCCCTGTTGGTGCTTGTTTAACTGCAGCAACAATCCAAATAATTATTCAAGGATACCGACGGTAATAGAGGAGAAAATAAAATAAAATCGCAGAAGCTTTTCAGCACTACTCTTATTCGAGACATAGCGTGCTCGTACTTGCCCAATCCCCAATCTTTCATACTCTCCGTCTCCTGATGTTTTGCAAACGACAAGGGCATAATGATCTTTATCAGGATCGTCGCCATCATCACCTGCCCTAATTCCAACGGTAACACAGTTCTAAAACTCATCCCTGGCCTTCAACGTTTATGCCTCAATTCAAGTCAAAGCCAAGACTTACGTGTTTTGAAACCTCAAGCATTGATTATGTCAAAATGTCGATGCTCCCGTCATAAGACATCCAAGACCAGAATGGTACGGTTGTATCTTTGTAAAGGATTGGTTCTGTCTTTGTACCGCCTCGCTTCCGCAGGAGGAGCCTATGAAGGAAGCAATGGAAGATTCCATATCTTGTATCAGTATGTGATACATTCCCAATATGTTCTGCTATGCCGGAAAATGCAATGACTATGACGGTATCGAGCAATATGGATGTATTGGTAGACTACCTGGCGAAATACTAGTATGGAGAAGGAAAGGAAATAGCTGGGCCTGCCAGCACTGCGCTATCTAGTATGTGCGAAGGGGTTTCTGCCCTATATTCAAACAGGCCAAAGTAGTCAAACATCTTACGTCACTGGTGAGTGCCACACTCCGTGACAACACCTCTCAATTGCCCAAAGCATGTCTCTATGTATATACTTTCGAACAGCAGGCAAGTCTTACGTTCCGGATAAAGGGAAACCGAGCTCTGATTGGTCAATTGGAGAAGCTAACATATCAGACATCCCAGCATATATGGAAGTCAGCAAGAGAAGCCAGGTTATGACATATCTTAAGTTTTAAAGTAGATGTTAAGTCTCACTATGAATAGTGGTATATGAGGTCATAAGAGAGATACTTCACAACATCCATGGATGCAGTCGATTCATCAGCGATCAGATCATCACTCCCTTGTTTTGCTTTTGATTCAGATAGACGTTCTTCCAAATAGCCACTGCCGGAATTCCAGCCGCCAGTACCGCGGTGGCAATGATATAAGCTCGCTGCAAATACACCTCCCAAGCCATGTCAATTGCCCCACGAATTTCAGATCCAGCAGGAAAGCTATTCTGAACCGTATACCCTCCTTGATAAAGTGACTCAGATATGGTCTTGTTCCCTGCAGGAAGTGCATCCCCCAAAGCAGAAGGGAATGTAGATTTGTAGATGGCGCGAGAGACAATAAGTCCAATGCCACCGCCCAAACCATTGCACATTTGTAACAAGAATAGCATTATAGGAATGCTGTCGCGCTCCACGAATACCGTGACCGCCAACTGCGATCCGACCACCACAGTCCCAGCAGCCAAGCCAACAAGGATCTGATATCCAACCCTATACCCAACGTCCGAGCTCCCCCCTGTGCCGCGCACATTGATCATCAACCCTAGTCCAAGGATCATTAACGGCAAGCCAATGTAAAGGCAGATGGGTTTGAATCGCCGGGTAAAGAAAACAGCAAAACCAAACAGCATACCTCCCACCCGTGAGCCGAGATTATATATTTGCATCACATAAGAGCTCGGTTTTAATGAGAGTTTGTAGTACGCAATGCTTGCTTCGAAATTGTACATATCCCAGCAGTAGAAACTGATTTGTTGGATAAATGCAAGCGCAAAGCAACCAATTATTGCTGGCTTTAGGGCTCCGGTGTTGAGCAGTTCATCTCGGGCACCGTATCGTTGCCAAAGACCATATAAACCCAGAAGAAAACCTCCAACAGCAAGAGGGACAATGAACATCGGGGAATCATACATGATTTCGCCGTAGGTATCCATGGTGAGCGGTAGCAGGAAAAGTACAAAGGCCGCCTTCAATATGATATTTCCAACCACTGGAAACATGGGTTACTTATCAGTGCGGACAAAAAGCTAGTGGGTAGTAGGACAAACATACAATCAAATTTTTGCATGTGATAAATGATAGACTGGGCTGGCGACCGCCCACTAGGTGCAGGTCGTTTGTAGACACCTCTAACCTCGGCCACCCATTGATAGTACCGGAAAATTCCGGCCAGCGGGCAGAGCACCACAGGCATTATGATAGCAAAAGCCCAATATGCCCAGCGCCAGTGGTTACTTGTCAAAGATTCATTAACCATGGGACCAGTAAATGTGGTGCATAGCAATGGACTTTGAATAAATGCCATGGCAAGGGCGCGATGCTGCACCTCAGTGATATCGGTGATGAAGACAAAGAGGATGAACCATAACACGGACTGTCCGACCACATAAAAGGAATATCCAACGGCCCAGACGGTGGCATTATTGCATGCTGCTAGGATAATGATTCCAATCAGGTAGATACCGACGAACACCAAGAATCCCTCCGCTCGGCCCCAGACATTGAGGAGCCGTGCGGCGGGGAGCTTCAATACAGTACCGAGTACCTTTTGCATAATCTCTAGTGTCATTCGGGTTTTCTCGGAAGACTCATGCTCATTATAGTGACTGGCATATCCGTTGGCTTGTGCACTAATGGGCACATGAAGACCAAGCATAAACATACAAATGAAGATCCTAGAGCAGGTAATCAGTTGTTAGAACCTCATTATCATGATTATGTACCGACGGTCAACTCACCATGCATAGGTCCCATAGGCGCTTTTCTTATTCCAGACAAGCGCTATGGCTTCTGCCTTCTGCACTCCCTGAGACACATCCGGCGTGATGGCATCTTCATCATTGCCATTTCGTTCTCCTTCGACGTTACTTTGAGACTCATTCTGGCCAACCCTGTGGTACCAAGAGTTGAGCTCTACTGTACTCTCAGAAGGCTTGGACTTGGATGGAGTTGAGACCAGCAAATTTCGGATATTTATGGACCAAACGCGTCGCATTGTAGCATTGAACAAACAGCCCAGCAGCCGTAGAAGCAGTGCTGGACAAAGAGGGATGGCTCTGTTGGAAAAACAACCAGTAAAGCCAGGTCTCTGGGTGAGGCTGGGATACAAGATGGGCAAATCGCCTGGCTCCCACGCCTCGCAGCCTTGTGCATGCCTCTTGTCATCTTCAGTAAGATCGGCAATCTAAGCCACGAGATTACTCGTCATTGCGCATAAAATGACCACTTTTGGAGAGATGCATTTCATCAATTCGAGAGCAATGTCTAACAATCTGGAGCAAAAGCTCAATGAAAGCCGTGAGCAGCGCAATAGGAGAGGGTCCGACGTGGCGCATTATATTTTTTCCACCTGCTTGAGTATTTTTAATTTGGCCTAGTTTTATTAATCGGATTGCAAGTATTATCCTGCCTTCTTTTTATACTGTTCAGTCTGCTGATTTTCTGGCAATTTGATGGTTGGATTAAATGGATTGTACTGCGCAGTCGGAGATGTGGCTGCTCGGTGGCCGCTTGGCAGTGAACCGCGTTAAGGTATGGTCTTCCTGGTCGATGAATAGATCGAAATCAATAATTGTGCGATCATATATTGTAAAATGAAGAAAAAAAATATTGCTTGTAAGCCAGAATAGATATTCGGTCAACAATCACTGAGAATTGCTTGGATCACTCTCTATTATGCTGACATGAGTCCAGCTTGGTTTTGGCTGTCACAGCATGAACACTTGCTCAGTCGTATGACATGCCTGATTCTTTTATGCTGATTCTTTTGTTCGGTTTTAGGGCGAATACCCCTCACATTGAATAATTTAGTGCTGGCAGGCCCAGCGCTCTTTTTTTTCTCCTCATGCTAGTATTTAACCAGATAGCCTACAAATAGATTTATATTGCTTGAGACCGTCACGAGAATGATGAGACTTATAACTGGAGAGAACACGATGGTCGAGGGAGGAGTCAAGACCGGCTCCCCTCTTCAGCGACCGCAGTGAGAGCGTCTAAGTAGGTGATGCCGAACGAGGAGTAACAAAATGTCCATTTGAAACTAGCTTCAAGGAACATGAAACCTGTGGCCGTGGAAACACACTCACCTGACGCCAAGACGGTAATTGGTTAGCAGGGCTCTTAAAACGGCCGCCTGCTGACCGTCATATCGTTAATAGAGGATAAGAAGGCTATATGGCCATATTTATAGCTCAGGGTGTCCATCTAGAACGTTCCGTATAGTTACAAGAAGATTAGGCATTCTGCTTGAGTACAAATGGATATTTGCCCACAAGAACCAGATAAATTGACTATAAAGCTAGTGGATGTCTGGATTTATCGAAGGCTGGGCAAAATATACAGATCCTCATGCAATCTGCACTGTTCCACCGTGCGCATATATAGAGTATACAGGCATCCAAGGAGAAAAACCAACTTCTTCATACATATAAAAAGAGATATGACAAAGAGTAGTCAGAGGTAATGGATATGTGGGAAGATCACACAAGAAAGATATATTCTCAACTATTCTGCATCCTACCTCAGGTATACGTAGAGTCATCGAGGAAATTAACTACTCCATATGCAAATACCAGCAGATAAACTAGTATCATTATCTTATCGAGTCATGTATGTATACAATGCGGTCCACTACAGCTCATGTCGAATACGGAAGACTTCCATTTGTCCGAAACCACTCTACAGATAAAACTGAATGCGGCATAATCAGAATAGATCGGAAAGACTTGTCGTTCATGTCATAATTATACGAAGTTTTATTGAAATAATAGGTGGTTCAACCCAACCTGCATGGCAAATATGTACGCCCCTCGAACATGCATGCCGCATAGCCCTAACATCCACTCTATACCAAATCCCAACGCAATATTATCCCCAAACTAACACACAAAACAAAAACAAACACAACACCGTCAAAATAAACTCCTCCCTCTCCAACGCACTAAGGCCCACCCCGAATGACACACGGACACGCAACTCAACCGTCCCACCTCGGAAACCTCCGTCATCTCGGACGTGCGGAAGACGTTGGCCCCTCCCATTCTCTTCTTCCTCTCCCCCGGGACAACGTGCCTGTGCCTGTCAATCAGGGGAGCTTGTGTGGACCGATGGATCGTGATCCTTCCCGTGCCGTTTGAATTTAGTTTTGATCTTGGATCCGTGTGGGGGATGCTTATTTGGACGTTGAGGTTGATGGTAATACGGCGTTTGTACAGGATCACGTGAGAGGTTTGCGAGTTGTATTTTTTTTCCTGCGTATTTTTGTCCTTTCTTCTTTCCTTTTTTTAATTTTTTAATTTATTTTCATTATCATCCATGGCTATTTGTTTACTCGGAAACATAGTAAGTATTGAAGTCATCATATTATCGACTAGCTCAAGTCTAGAAATTTACGGTCCACACCAAGTCATCATTTTAATCGACAAAAACGAAAAAGATATCGTACCATGCCATGCGTTTGAAACAAGCCCAGGAATTAAACAGTAGAAAGAAAACATAGACAAAACAAATAACATGAAATGAAAGAAATTAAGCACCGAACTCCTTGACATCCGTCTTCTTCCCACAGAGAGCCAATGGCACAATACCACTGACGTGCATCTCGGGACCGTAGACGTGCATGTCAAGGCTAAGCTCCTCACCAACAGCCTTGATGTTCTTCAGACCCTCCTGGTAGTTGGGACCAGCACGGCGGACCCAGATCTGGACCTTGTGCTCGTTGAAGGTAGTGGCGACCTCCCGCAGAGCGCGGATGACACCCTTGAAGGTGGAAGCAACGTTGGTGAAGTTGGCAATACCACCACCGATGAAGAGGACCTTGCCATCGGGGTGAATGGGAGCCCGGAGCAAGAGGTCGAAAACGGTACGGGCGTAGTTGTAGGTCTGAGTCTCGGTGGGGGCACCCGAGTACTCACCGTAGTTGGCGAGCTCGCTGACGAATCCAGCGGAGGCAATGGCATCCGCGTAGACGACAGAAGCACCACCACCGGCAACGAGAGTCCAGACACGACCGCTGGGATTGAGGACAGTGAGCTTGAGCGAAGCACCGGTCTTGGCATCCATGTCGGAGATGAACTTCTCCTCCTTGCTCATCTCACGACCGAAAGGAGCGGGGAAATCCAAGGGAGGGCCAGCGTCGATGTTGACCTTGTCAGCCTGGGGAGCGGTGGCCAGGCCCAGGTTGGCAGGGCTGCGGGCAATGGCCCACTTGGTACCACACTCGAACTCAGCGGTCTGGTCCAGCTTGGCGGCCAAGTCAAGGAAGTGAACTTCGGCGGAGGTACCCTCGGCGTTGGGGATGACAACCAAGGGGTTGATCTCGAGGTAGGTGAACTGGGAGTCCACGTAGACGGCGTAGAGACGCGAGATGAAGTCGACGAGGACGTTGTGGACACCCTCGGGGACCTTGTTCAGGAGGGCCTTGGCGATTTCCTCGTTGGAGGGGTAGTTCTTCAGGTTGACGGGAATGAGCAGCTTTTCAGCCTTAGCGTCGACATCACCAACGTCGACACCACCCTCGTGGGTGAAGAGGATCCAGTCACCCTACACTTGTTAGCCCTTGACAATCTTATACCTTTGTATAAGCGAGTTACCTACCTCACGAACGGAGTGGATGTTGATGTAGTATTCAGTCTCTTGAGGGTGAGGAACGAAGGGCTCGACGAGGAACTGACGGAGGACACCAGTGACGGTCTCAACCTGGACTTCCTTTGCAGCACGAGCCTCAATCCATTCCCTAGCCTCAGCCCAGGTCTTGTTGAGACCAAGGAGACCGCTCTTTCCACGGCGCTTGATCAATTGGTCGGGTTTGGCAACGAACTTGGAGCCGGGAGTGAGGAGCCAAGGGTAGGTGACCTCAGCCTGGTCAAGGACATCCTTCACAGCAAGGTCGTCGGGGAAGTAGAGAGAGGCGAGTCTGGAAGGAGGGTTGTGGGTGGTGGAGGGAGGGAGCGGAGTAGGCTTGATGACGGGAGCGCGAGTGAGGTGGTAGTTGAGGATGGCCTTTCCGTCGGCCTCGAGGATGGACTTAGCAGACATTGTGAGTTATTAGATGTAGTAAAGATAAAAAAGAGTAGAGGGGTATAGAGGAGGAGAGCAAGTAAGAGGGACAGAGAGAGGAGGTATGGCAATAGAAGTGGTAGAAGTAGGAGTAGAAGTAGAAGAGAAGTAGAAGAGGAGGGATGAGAAGGAGATAGAGAGAGGGAACAGAAGAGAGAGTAGAAAGGAGGAACAGAGGCCGATCCAGGAGAATTTGTTACCGTCGCAAAACGGTACAGTTAGGAAAATGACATGTTTTTTTGGATTCAGTGGGGTAGGTTGTGACCCACTTTGATTGTTGAGATTCACAGTGGATCCATCACGCTAAACCTATTTTGGGTGTGGGATCATGAGTACCGAGTACTTTCTCTCACATGTGTCAAGGGATTTGTAGGACTATGTGCATATCAACATGGTCAATTGCTGGTAAATTTTATGTGTGTAATGTATTTACTGCAGTGTTATATCATGTGAGGTGTCAATTGAGTACAGGTAGTGAAGAATTGTGCTATGTATGTACCGAGCACTGTATCTGGTACAGGTGTGCGCTGTAAACTCTGATATGGCCATGCATGGTCCGAATTGTTGGGTTGCAACACAGGAGACGAAACGGAATGAATGGAGCCTTGGTATTGCGTGTTTTTTTCTGGCTGGCGGACAGCAATTTCGCTTTTTGCAAGTGTGCTCTTGTATACAGTGTAGCCGTGATACCACACAGTCGGACGAGTCCGTACGGAGCACGGAGTAGTTCTGCTGTTGCTTACTGCTGACTGTTTCCATATACTGTATCCAATTGATAATTTGCATTCCAGCAAATCTAGAATATTCATTACCACGGCCCTCTAGCGGTAGATACAGTAGATACCACCCCTGTACTACTGTATACTCCCATACTACAGAGTATGGTCCCTGTAAACAATCGATAAGATAGGCGGTCAACCGCGGGGTGGTTTAAGCCCCAACCAGCGGTGGATCCGCGATTGACACACGGTTTGTTGAGCAGTATCAAATTTACAGAGTATTCGCCAGTCTGTTGGTATGCGGTTATTTTTGTATTGTTCCCCGATATCGTCGTCACAGCCAGCATCCCATCCTCTCTCTCCCTCCTCCATCTTTCTTCTTCTCTCCTGTCCATCTTTTCTCTCTTCCTCCCCCCTGACCATCTTCCTTTCCCTCTTCACTTCTTCTTTTTAGTATCAGGGAAAAACCCCCATCTTTCATCTTTTGTTTTCATCTTTTTACATCTATCTACCTACCTACTTAATATAATCCTCAGGTACCTACCAATTCCCTCCTACTGCTCTCGTGCTCAACTAACGTCTATTCCGTATAGCCATCATGCCCGAGTCCGCTCCTCTGGCCAGCACTGCCAATGGCTTGCAGTCGGCCAACGACAACATCACCCGTTTCAGCCCTCCCAGCCGTGTGCTCTCCCCCCTCTCTCACACTCTCTTCCACAACAAGACACGATGCTTCGTATAGTAAGTCGACCAGAACGAAATAACCAAGGGGATCAGATGTCAGGACTGACTTGAGCAGTGGTATGCAGCCCAAGGCCGTCCAGGGTATGCTGGACTTTGACTTCATCTGCAAGCGGAGCACCCCCTCCGTCGCCGGTATCATCTACACCTTTGGCGGCCAGTTCGTCAGCAAGATGTACTGGGGTACCAGCGAAACCCTCCTCCCCGTTTACCAGGACGTCGCCAAGGCCATCGCCAAACACCCCGACGTCGACACCGTCGTCAACTTTGCTTCTTCCCGTTCCGTCTACAGCTCCACCATGGAATTGATGAACTGCCCCCAGATCAAGTCCATTGCCATCATCGCAGAGGGTGTTCCTGAGCGTGTATGTTCTGTCTCCCCATTGAAAGTCGATCTTTTGCTAACTAGACCAGCGTGCCCGTGAAATCCTGGTCACCGCCAAGGAGAAGGGCATCACCATCATTGGCCCCGCTACCGTCGGTGGTATCAAGCCCGGTGCCTACAAGATCGGTAACACTGGTGGTATGATGGACAACATTGTTGCCTCCAAGCTCTACCGCAAGGGCTCCGTTGGCTACGTCTCCAAGTCTGGTGGTATGTCCAACGAGTTGAACAACATCGTCTCCCAGAACACCGACGGTGTCTACGAGGGTGTGGCCATCGGTGGTGACCGTTACCCCGGTACCACTTTCATTGACCACCTGCTCCGTTTCCAGAACGAGCCTGAGTGCAAGGTCCTCTTGCTGCTCGGTGAAGTCGGTGGTGTCGAGGAGTACCGTGTCATCGAGGCCGTCAAGAATGGTACCATCACCAAGCCCATTGTTGCTTGGGCTATTGGTACCTGCGCCGGCATGTTCAAGACCGAGGTCCAGTTCGGTCACGCTGGCGCCTCTGCCAACTCTGACCTGGAGACCGCCATTGCCAAGAACAAGGCCATGCGTGAAGCTGGCATTCACGTTCCCGACACCTTCGAGGACATGCCTGAGCTGTTGAGCAAGGTCTACAAGGATTTGGTCGCCAGCGGCACCATCAAGCCCCAGGCCGAGCCTGTCGTCCCCAAGATCCCCATTGACTACTCGTGGGCCCAGGAGCTGGGTCTCGTCCGCAAGCCCGCTGCCTTCATCTCCACCATCTCCGACGACCGTGGCCAGGAGCTGCTCTACGCCGGTATGCCCATCTCCGATGTCTTCAAGGAGGACATTGGTATCGGTGGTGTCATGTCGCTTCTGTGGTTCCGCCGCCGCCTCCCTGCCTACGCCGGCAAGTTCTTGGAGATGGTTCTCATGCTCACTGCCGACCACGGTCCCGCTGTCTCGGGTGCCATGAACACCATCATTACCACCCGTGCCGGCAAGGACCTCATCTCCGCCCTCGTCTCCGGTCTGCTGACCATTGGCTCTCGTTTCGGTGGTGCCCTGGACGGTGCTGCGGAGGAGTTCACCAAGGCCTTTGACAAGGGCATGAGCCCCCGTGACTTTGTCGACACCATGAGAAAGGAGAACAAGCTCATTCCCGGTATCGGTCACCGTGTCAAGTCCCGCAACAACCCTGACCTCCGTGTTGAGCTGGTCAAGGAGTTCGTCAAGAAGAACTTCCCCAGCACTAAGCTGCTCGACTACGCGATTGCTGTCGAGACTGTCACCACCTCCAAGAAGGACAACCTCATCCTGAACGTTGACGGTTGCGTTGCTGTCTGCTTCGTCGACCTCATGCGCAACTGCGGTGCCTTCTCTGGCGAGGAGGTTGAGGACTACATGAAGATGGGTGTCCTCAACGGTCTCTTCGTCCTGGGCCGCAGCATCGGTCTGATTGCCCACTACCTCGACCAGAAGCGTCTCCGCACTGGTCTGTACCGTCACCCCTGGGACGACATCACCTATTTGCTGCCCAGCTTGCAGAAGGGCGGTGCCGAGGGCCGTGTCGAGGTCAGCATTTAATTTCGTTTTACGTGATATCTCCTTGTTTTCGTCTTTGTTTGGGCAGCGACCCGGGATATTCTGGGATAATGTGCCGAAAATTTCATCTGTGTATCGACATTGGAGTTCTGATGGTTTCTTTTCATTTCTTTGCATGGTTTATATCATCGTATCTGTTTTATACTCTAGTGCGCACGTGTGGCATGACAAATAATCATGAATTTAGATGGATTCCAGACTTTTCACTGTAAAATTCTGAATGTAGAAGCGTTGAACCCCGAGGAGAAATGCTATGCGTCGCCATATAGATCCATACTAAATCTGATTGGCCGAAGCTCCGGTCCCATTTTCCATCGGATTTCTGATAAAAAGTTCATCTTTGACTTCAACAACCAATCACCCAAGCAAATCGAAACAAAATGGTCCGCTTAAAACAACGCTACCTCCTCCTCGACATTCTATATCCCGATCCGTCCTCATGGCCCAAATCAATCCCCGACGACGCAAATCCGGAAGCAAACAACCACCTCCGCATCCACTCCCCAACAGCAGATACACTATCACCCGGCCTCCTGGCAAAGTTAATTCGCGAACAAGTCTCAGAGATTTTCGGAGATTGGGGCGTCGGTAGACTTGGTGGTTCTAATGCGGGTGGTGTTAGCGGTATGCCCCATCCCCTCCCTTCATGATCCATTCACGAGCGCGAAGCGAATGCTAATGTTATTGGTGCAACAGTAAAATATCTCTCCCCCGCAACATCAACAGCTATAATCCGCTGCCCACGCGCCTCCTACCGCCTCGTCTGGACAGCCATCACGCACCTCTCGCATGTCCCTGAATACACACCTGGCTCTGGCTACGCTGGGAAACGCGCCGGCGCGATGAACAGACCGTGCGTGTTTCGCGTGATCAGGGTCTCCGGGACGATGAGGAAAGCGGAAGAGGAAGCCATTAGACGGGGCAGGAGGGAGATTGCGAGGGTTAGAGGGGTTAAGGAGGGGGTTGTGCTGGGTGGTTTGTTTGGGGCTGGTGATGCTACTGGGGTTGGGGTAGAAGATGTTGATATGGACGAAGACAATGCGGATGATTCGGATTGACTGTTTGATTGATTAACTGTACATATCATTTATATTATCGAGATACCCATAATTCGTTACTTTCGTACAACTTTTATCCCACTATCTGGTAACGGTCCTTTGAAATCTGCCAGTTCGTCATCGTCATCGTCTGTCGCCGGAAGTTGCTGGTTCTGCTCTTTAGTCCAGGCAGCCTCCTCCTCCAACTCAGCCAATTCCTTCTTATCATATTCATCCTTCGCATCGAGCCACCGCTCCTGCACGTCCCGCACATCCATACTCCCCAGCCCCTCCCTAACAGCAACCTGCCAAACACTATCATTCGCCCCCTCCGCGGGCCCAAACGCATACCCACCCGCCCGATCAATCTGTCTCAACAAACTCATCATACTCTTCTTATCCTCCACAGCCAGCGTCTCGAACCCCACAAGCCCAAATTCCTCAATCAAATCGATAATCGCATTATTCAACGGTCCAAATTTCTCGTGCGATAGCCGCGAGGACTCGGCTTCCAGGTGCGGGAGGAGGTAGTTTAGGTCTTGGACCTCAGTGTAGAAATCGAGGTTGAAGGGGAGGGGGGCGTAGTTGGAGAGGTTATCGATTTTGGTGAGCACATTTAGGTGCGGGAGGTCCATTTGGAGCATTGCACGGAGGGAGAGGAGGAGGGCGGATATGTACATTGAGGGGAGAGTTAGGGTGTAGGAGTCGATTAGGTGGATTACTATCAGCTACTGGGGTTAGTAGTGGTTTGGTTGACCGTAGGGGAGAGGACTCACTCTATATCCCATTTTCTGGAGCTTGAAGAAGATATTCCGTAATGATGCGTGGTGTGTAAATAGTTCGACTTGCCCAGGGCAATCGAATAATACATAGTCCTCTACACAGGTTAGCTTCTTCATTCTCTTCAACCTGCATGGTAGAGTGCCCACCTCCAAGCTCCTTCAACCCTTCCTCCAGGAACTCAAAGTTCTGCTCCAATTCCTCCAGCGCATACAAAACACCCCCATTAGGTCCTAGCTTATCCTCTCCCATGATCTCCTCCAGCGTCACCAAATCCCGCACGTCCAGCGCACACGGATACGATGTTTGATCGTTCGCAGGGTCCAGATTCACAATCGAACATTTGCGACCGATGGCGCCGAGGAACTGGTGCATGCCGTTGCAGTATGTTGACTTGCCCGCACCCGGTGGGCCGATGACTAGTTGCGCGAAGGGCATTCTTTCGTATGAGCAGTAGAGATATAACAATATTATAGATGAATATAATCAAATGCCTGTTTGATAGAGGCGGGGAGAAATAATATGGCGGTGAATCAAGGCAGAAAACGATCTTCAGTTCGATGACGATGGAACAATCTCCAACAACAACAACCGCAAAAACACCGAAGAAATTGCAAGTTTAGTCCGGTGCAGTGCACTACAATGGCGTCAAGTAAGCTACTACCCATATTATTCTACTTACTGGAAGTGACTGTATGCTAACAATTCAGATCAATTCACCGTCGCTTCTCCGCCGTCCGATGCCATCTCCGCCCTCAAGTTCTCACCAGATCCAGAGTCTACGCAATTCGTCGTGTCCTCGTGGGATAAGAATGTCTATCTGTATGAATTGCGCGATGAGAATGGGAATGTAGGAGAAGGGAAGCTGTTGCAGAGGTTTGAGCATCGCGCGCCGGTGCTGGATGTTTGTTATGGCGCGAATGATAATGAGATTTATACGGCTGGGTTGGATTGGGATGTTAGGAGGTGAACAGCCTTTTTTTTTTTTTTTGACTTGTTGTGGCCTGGGTCACTGGAGGCTAATGGCAACAGAATCAACCTAGCAACGTCCGAACAAACCGTCCTCAGCAGTCATGATGCCGGCGTCCGCAACGTCGTCTACAGCAAAGAACACTCTTTAGTTGTCTCCGCCTCCTGGGATTCTACATTACATGTGCACCGCGTCGATACGACAGCCGATATCCCTCCATCCATCGTCCCCCTCCCGTCAAAGCCCTTCTCCGTTTCCATCACAGCCACCAAGCTCGTCGTCGCCATGGCCTCGCGCTCCCTTCACATCTACGATCTAAAGGCATTGGCCCTCCTCACCGAGGAATCCGGCGAAGTAGTCAACAACAAGATCGAGGTTGAGCCATGGCAGCGCCGGGAAAGCAGCCTCAAGTTTATGACGCGGTGTGTCGCTTGCATGCCGAATGACGATGGATACGCTTCGTCGAGCATTGAGGGCCGTGTTGCGGTGGAGTGGTTCGACCCGTCGCCCGAGTCGCAGGCTCGCAAGTACGCATTCAAGTGTCATCGACAGGCTGCGGAGGAAGTTGATGTTGTATACCCCGTGAATGCATTGGCATTCCACCCGGTTTACGGGACTTTTGCGTCTGGTGGTGGGGACGGTGTTGTTGCACTGTGGGATGGAATTGCGAAGCGGAGAATCAGGCAGTATCAGAAGTATTCGTCAAGTGTTGCGGCTGTAGGTTTCAGTGGGAATGGGAAGTACCTGGCTGTCGCGATTAGTCCGAATTTCGAAGATGGGAAGGATGATCTCGCAGAGGGATCTGTGAATATTCATGTGCGGGAGTTAGGAGAGACAGAAGCAAAGGGGAAGGGTGCCAAATAATGACTGGTAATATAGATATCTTGTCACTTATAATGCTTACTGGCGAATGGATTGGTGTTTCCTCACAAGTTACGTTGATATACCTGATATTCAAACGAAAACGATGGTATCATATATGTACAAGGATTCCTTTTTTTTATTTATTTTTATTTTTATTTTTATTTTTTTTGGATATGCCCAACATCTACTGCTGCGCCTTCCTGACAGTCACAGTACCATCAGTCATACCAAAGTAAGCAGCCACCGGCTTCTGACCACCAATACCGCCCCTAGCCTGCGCCTGCGGGCCATTCGAGCCATAGAAAACACCAACTTCTAACACACCGGCAATGCCCTTGATCGCGCGAGCCAGATTTTCAACCTCCCACACACCATCCTTTCCGCTGCCATTATTGCCAGCCTCGACATCGGCCTTGGTGAGAAGAGGCTTGAAGGGAGCGTCGATGATGAAAAAGTCCTGGTCGCTCTTCAGGGGACCTTCCTTGGGGCTTGCACTGAGGCGCACCATGGGGTTGATACTGCCGAGTTCTCTGAGTTTGGTGAGGACACGACGCGCGGCGATGGGGGCGACCTCAATTGGGATATACTTCCAGTTTGAGAGGAGGCGGGATTGGAGTTTTCGCGAGTCTGTGTTTGTTAGTACCAAACCTCCTCTATATTGGCAGGGCAAACTCACCAGCAACGCAGATAAACTCCTTCGCCTGCAACGCCACAATCTTCTCCTGAAACAAACAAGCACCACCACCCTTGATCAAATTCAAATCCTCATCCACCTCATCCGCCCCGTCAAACGCAATATCCAGCACAGTGCCCTCGGGGATAGAATCGAACTCGATGGGGGTCAGACCAGCCTCGACAATGAGCTGTTTCGATTGGAAACCCGTAGGCACGTATTTGGTCATGGAGGTGTCGACGTCGAGTTCGTTGATCGCTTCGATCACATACTGAATCGTCGAGCCGCTGCCGATACCAACCCATTTGGCATCTTTGGGGTAGTGGTTGTTGACAGCGGTCTTACCGGCTGCGCGCTTTGCGGCTTCGATTTGGTCGGTCATTTTGGATGTGGATGCAGATGTGTATGACTGGGTGCGGAATCGGAGCTGGGCACAATACGCGGGAGCGCACGGAAGACGTGGATGAGGGTTAAGAAGAGAATGGAGTGAAGAAAGAAAAGAAGAAGAGGAGGAGGAAGAAGAAAAAGACGGAGACCGCAGCCTGTGAAACCAATCGAGTGGAACGACTATTAATACGGACTGAAAGGAACCGGGATCGCGTTTGCTTCGGAGGAGAACCTTCCCCGAGGGGTTTCTTTTTGGTGGGGTGTACGAGCCAAGGAAGAGAGGGCTATGGGTGAAGGGAACTTTAGATAGGCAACTTACACCGTGGACAGACCACGCGCAATATGTGTAGACATTTGTCCGTCTCTTAATATGCTCTATCCAGCAATTCCAACCTCCGGTAACTTGCTATGGTAATCTTAAGCGCAACGCATTTGTGATGCTTTGGCGGGGTGCATTGGCGTCATATACTGCCTGAGGCAGGTACAAGTCTCTCAGATCAGGTGATTTCACGTGGTGATAGCTATCGCGCTGCGGAGTACAACATCACGCTATCAGTTCCAGAACAATTATCAAAAACTCGCTGATATATTACTCGGTCTGTTCATCAACCCACGACAAATGACTGACGCTTTTCCCAGGGCCCTGGCTGGGCCGTCTTCGAAAGAGCGCAAGTACGACCGTCAGCTTCGACTTTGGGCTGCGAGTGGACAACAAGCGCTGGAGGAAGCTCAGGTGCTTTTAGTCAACTCCGATGGTCCATGGGATGATGAGGGCACTGGTGTGCCGGGCGTCGTGGGTGTAGAGACGCTGAAGAATCTTGTCTTGCCTGGTATCGGAGGTTTCACTATCGTCGACCCAGCGATGGTTACAGAGTCGGATTTGGGTGTCAACTTCTTTCTTGAGGAGGAGAGTCTGGGGAAATCGAGAGCTCAGGAGACTTGTCGGTTGCTGAGAGAGCTGAATCCAGACGTGGATGGAAACTTTCAGACCAAGGTAATGCTATCATGTGATGTTTGCACAGGCCGTGAAGCTGACGATGTATAGCCGATTGCAGAGCTTTTACAAGACACAAATTTCTTGGGGCAGTATAAAATAGTGCTTATCTCTGGTCCTTTGAAACGCTCATCCCTGAACGCTCTCTCCAAAGGAGCCCGTGAACTTGGCATCCCAGTACTCTATACACATTCAATTGGGTTTTACTCGACATTTTCTCTCCAGCTCCCCGCCGAATTCCCCATAGTTGAAACACATCCCGACCCCGAGACAACACAAGACCTTCGCTTGGTGAACCCTTGGCCAGAGCTAGCAGAAGCTGGTGCACAGATCAGCAACCTGGATAGTTTGGATGACCACCAACACGGCCACGTACCATACGTTCTATTGCTTTTGCACTATCTCGAAAAGTGGAAGGCTGCGCACAACGGCAACACGCCGTCTAATTACAAGGAGAAGACAGAGTTCAGAGAGATGGTGCGCGCTAGTGCCAGGATGAACAACACTGAAGGCGGAGAGGAGAATTATGATGAAGCTGCCGCTGCCGTGCTGAAATCATTGACACCATTCACTCTGCGCAGTACACTCCGTGAGATCTTTGAAATGGAGGAGTGTAAGAATCTGAAGCCGGAGTCAAATAACTTTTGGATCATTGCGTCCGCCATTAATGGATTCTACCAGAAGTACAAGGTGCTTCCGCTACCCGGTTCGTTGCCGGACATGAAGGCGCAGTCGGCGGATTACATTGCGCTTCAGAACATTTACAAGACCAAGGCCAAGAAGGATATAGAGGAAGTCACAGGGATCGTTAGACGGATCGAGTCTCAGCTGGGATCGCGGCCAAGTCCTGTCCCAGAAAAGGATATCGAGATCTTTTGCAAGAATGCAGCTCATATAAAGGTCGTCCTAGGCCGGAATATTCCCCAGCTGGACGAGGGAGATGAACACTTGTTCAAGACAGTTCGGAACAACCTAAGTGTCATCGAGGGCTTGCCTGAAACTCTCATGCCGATCTTCATTGCCTCCCAGATCCTGGATGCAATCGTGACTGACATTCAAGAGGGGAAGCTAGTGAGTGGATCTATCGACAACGAGGAGGTTTGGAGGAACCAGATCGACCACTTCGTTGGTATTCTCCGGCACGACGATCCGGCCGCTGTTGACAAAGACACGCAGCGACGTATTGCGGACGCCACTCAGGAACTCCGACGTACAGAAGGTGGCGAGCTCCACAATATATCGGCTCTCACGGGAGGTCTAGTCGCGCAAGAGGCTCTCAAGGTTATCACGAGGCAGTACGGCCCATTGGACAACACTTGCATCTTTGATGGTGTCCGAAGCCGCACTGAGATGTACAGGCTGTGATCTGATTCAGTGACCACGCATATAAAACACGAAGTGAATACCTGTGGCTAGACTAATTGCTAGGAATGATTAACGAAACTACTATGACCCAGCTCTTTTACTATCATTACCCAAAGTAGCAATCTGCATACCCGTGCAAATAAAGCAAACAAAGCAAACAACTGTACTGTCACATGTCTTGGCACTCGTAAGCGTTCGGATCGGCCTCGGACCCTGAGTGGAACTTCAACTCCGTGTTAAACGGTCCCCAGGATGATGCTTTTCACGCTCTTGTTTGTGATTTAGTTTCTTTCGCTACAATTTGTTAATGTGATTCTTCTTGCTAGACAGGCGAATGACTCTCCCGCCGTGTATGTCCAGTGGGAGCTCTTCCGCATAACACAACGGATTCCCGCCAGCTGGTCGGGGTAATCGGACATCAGCCATTATCATCAATTCACCATGGCTGGCATACAGGAGACAGCAATGATGCCCAACACCCCTCCGGCTGCAAGTGCGTCGCTGGCAGCCGCGCAGAACCTAGCAAATAACGCCTCCAACCTGACGACAACGAAATCCCTCCTATCCTCCTCACGCGACCTCCTCAGCGTCCCCCTTCGCGCCATCTACCGAGCAGATACATACGCGTTCTCTACACTACCAAGACAAGTCGCGAAATTTGTTGGACTGGGGAACGTGGCCGCACAGCTTATGGATGATACTACTGCTTCCGGGGGAGCTGTTGGGGGTGAGACAGTGGCGCGGGTCGCGGCGGAAACGGTGGGTGAAGGCGCTGCCGGTGCTGCGACTGCGGCTACAACAGGGCAGGAGTCGGGATTTCATATTGCGGATTTTTTTCATACGTTGAGGAGACTTAGTGGGTTCTTCTCGTATCTGACGAGTCGGTGGTCGTTGGCTTGTTTTACGGTGGTGAGTGCGGACAACTTACAGTTCGGAATGAAGACGGCAGGGTCTAATAGATGTAGGCTCTTGTTTTGAACAGGATTACTATTTATGCTTCGACAAGGCGAAACCTACATTTACAATGGGATCGACGGTTAGCGTTGCGGATCATCCCCATCGTACTGTTTGTATCCCAGATCATCTCCCTCCTTCGCGCGATTCGTTGCCAGACATCACCAGATTATTCGCTTATACGTTACGGCTCACCTGGAAAGGGTATGGCACTCGATCATGCCGGGGGTGGAGGCTTCTTGTATTCTCTGAGTTCGACGCTTCTACCGTGGGAATCAGATCAAGGGTCATGCAGTGCGGTTAATATGGGCGCTCCGACCAACGCTTCGGAAATTCCGTACGGTTCCTTTTCTCTTTTATGGCCGGTATTTTTACGATTATGCCTCAGCCACTTTGTCGAGACACTTTCTTGCGCGTTGCAGGGAAGAACTGTGGTCACGGAAGCGGGAATGTCCATTTTCGAGCACTCGCTCGCCTTCGCGGAGGCTGAATCTATCATCAGTCAATCCATCGGGCTGGGGATATTTGGTCTACATAAGCACGGACGAGATGATACGTCACTTTCTGCCGCCGCCGTGGCTTCTGCTGCAACTGCAGCTGAGAGTGGCCGTGCTTCGCTCCATGTACTTACCAGGTCACAGGTATTGGAGAAGATGAACGTGTCGCCTGAGTTGCTTCTGATTGCTCTGATCTCATGCTGTAACAGCTTGACGTCCAATCTTCTCGACGTCATTGGAAAGCAGAGCAGGTACCGTCTTGTCCACACTGCTTTCTGGGGACTGTGCTTCATGGCTGCGATGGTGTTGGGGCTGCTTGGCAATCCATTGGGCCATGAGGCTGGCTTTATGAAGTTCCCTACGGTCTGCATTGTTGGTTTCGTGCCACACCTGCTTATTTTGTTCGGCATTCTTTCGTGTGTTGTGATCTACGGATTAGCTCTTGTCATTACTGCATTTTCACTTCCTCTAGAGACTTCTCAGCCTGTCTCAATACGAATAAGATTTCAACTCGCACACGAAAACATGCAAGGCGCCAACCAGATTCGCAGTATTCGGTTCAATCGACATGAGGATTTCTATACTACGCTACTCAGAATTGGCTACACGGCTTTGACTGCGGCTAGTGAAGCCGTTTTCCTCAATGAAGGGGGAGGCGTCGTTGCCAGAAAGATGACATGGTTAGAAGAAGACCGACTAGCAGAGATTGAGGCATCCCGAGGACGAACTCCTGCCCAGAAGAATTGGAGTTCCTACGACACAGCGTTCAAGGGAATGGAGAACGTGAACTTCGACTTGCCAGAAAGACCTCTGGAATGGGAAAGTGGGTATGGTCGTGAGAAGAAGGTTGAACGGCCAAAGAACAGCTCTCGACCCGTTCGATCACCAGCTGACCCAGGTGGCGTTGGCGCGTTCCGCGGAGCTACTAGGGCTTACCATGTCTTTTCGTTCTTTCGTGCTATCTTCTACATCATTGTTCAGTGGATGGCCCACGGAATTAACTCCCTATTGGACAAATTGGGAATCCATGCCCGACCACAGTGGTTGAAGGCTAATTCACGAAAGAAGGGATCTCGAACAAGGAGCGATAACTCTACCGAACCTCTGGACTTCTGGATTCTTACAGATGGCGGAGAACTCGAGTTACCCGAGGACAACGAATTTGACGTTGAGAATGAAATGCGAAAACGTGAACGCACCAATGCAGCGGATTGGGGACAGTCTGACGAACGTCGTCTAGATGAGAGGCTCTATGGTTGGTGGAAAGCCGGTGGCTCATGGGGGAATCAAGACCAAAGTCCTGACTACAATCCGCCAGAGGTTGATGACTTTGATGATACAACGAGTGTGGTGTCGATGTCGACAAATGCCAGCGATTCAGAGTGGGAAGATGAATTTGACGGTCGTCGCACGCCGACTCAGGCTGATCCATTCCCTGATAGCTTCTCCCGGGAAGGTACGCCACAACCAGATGCGTTAATGGACATCCGTTCTCTCGCACGTCTTCTTGATCCTCGCGATCGAGCTAGTAGAGAAGAAGCGCGGATCCTGGCCGCTCACCTTTCTGCTGATCGGGGCGGACGAATTCTCACTCGCCATCAATTCCGAAGAGATTTAGAACGTGAGAAAGCACAGATCTTATTATCTGCCCGTTTACCTCAGCTTGCCTCCGCACAAACATCCAACGATAAAAGAAAGCCAACACCAGACGAAGAGTCCGAAATGCTAGAGAACCTGATCCTCTCGCGACGAACAGAGTCATCAACTCCTAGCACAGAGCCCAACGGACAGAGCTGGGAAACTGGCGCTTCAGGACTTGGACCCGATGGCCCGCCGTGTGTTGTCTGCCAGACGAGTCCTCGCTCGATTATCGCTTGGCCATGTCGGTGTCTGTGTGTCTGTGAAGAATGCCGGGTGAGTCTTGCAATGAACAACTTTGGCAGTTGCGTGACTTGTCGACAGGAGGTCGCTGGGTTTATGCGGTTATGGGTGCCGTAATCTTCTCTATATGTAATTTAGTCGGCGTTAGTGGGAATAGATGCATATGAACTTAGGGCAAGCGTACCTTTTTTCCAATTTAAGATGTAAGATTGTAGTCCGTATTGGAATAATATTGCTTTTTCTTTCCTTATTGCATTAAACTCGTCCAATCCGACGTAAGATGTGAAAATAGAATTCTCCATCTGATGGCATTCACCTCTTCCAAACAAGCCAAAGCGTTTGGCATAACAACAATGGATACAGTAAAAGAGCGCAAAACAGCTCTATGCCTCCTCTAATTCACTGCTCACTGTTCCCCATCATGAAAATATTTCTTCACACTGTTCCTTCTGTCTGCTTCCAACTCTCCTTCTCTCTCCATTGTCCTCATTATCCTTTGTGATTTTTACTTATTCTTTGCACCCCATCGTTAACAACTACTTTACTCAATCAAGCCCTGATTTCCTTTCTATTTACTACAAACTTAATCCAAAATGTCTGACAGAATAAAAATCACCTCCCCCAGCACCTCAGTCTTAGACTCCATCTCACACGGTTGGGAGACAGTCAACAACAACAACAACCAACCCACAACCCCCTCTGCATCCAGGGTTGGATCTGACTCTGATGTCCCCACCGTCGAACACATCGAAGATATTGCTACTTACACCGGCGATTTCAACGAGGAAGAGGAACACGCCGTCATCTCAGGCCCACTTGCTGAACGGCTCGTTTCTGAGCCTATTACCATTCCTCCCGCTGCTGCTGCGGCTGTTGCCTCTGAAGCTGTTACTGAGGATGCTGAAGCTGACACTAAAGTTGAAAATTATGATGGCGATGCGGATGCGTATGCGGCACTGCACTTCTGGAAGAACGAGGCTGTGGGTGGTTTTCGTGGTGCAGCTGCTGGAAAGCGTCCTGGTGTTTCGGAGGGAGAGTATTCTCAAGCTAGTTTGTTGGCTGAGAAAGTTTTTGAGAGCAGGTTACAGCGTATGCAGGATATTATGGGGATGTATGAGGCTAGGCGTTCGTGTACCTTTCCCCTCTTTTTATGAGTCAAAGCTAATAAAAACAGCAGGGAAGGAGTACGATCCCGAGCAGAACAAAAAAGAAGACGAGTACTGGAGCAAGTACATGGCCGGTAGCCCTAGCACTATCCTCGAACCTTACTCCCCCGGCGTCGAGGACTCTGGTGCCCCCGCCCGTCGTCACTTGAACTCTGCCCGTGAGGGTACTGTTAGTGCTGGTGCTAATTCCATTGTCAGTGCTCCTACTCTTTCTACTTTGTCTCCTATTTGTGCTCGTGCGAGACGCCAGAGCCCTGCTAGTGTCAGCAACGCTGATGTCTCCCTCCCTACGCCCGCGCCTGCCCGCCCAACACAAGAGAGGCCTTCACATGAGGTTAGTGCCAGTCCCACTGGTACCGCCATCCCCATCCTGTCTCCTGTCTCATCAAGGTGCCAGAGCTTCACCCATGATGCTAGCTCCAGCAACATTGGCGTTGGCATTTCCATCCCTTTTCCATCCCCCCACTCGTCTCCCGCTCGCACAAAGACATCGAACAGCGAAGCCTACGGAAAAGCACTCGCTTCTTTCAACGCTCTCTGCCAGAGCTTCCACGAGTGTGTTCAGCTCCAGGAACGTGAGAATATGAACGCTGCTTCTAACGAAGCCAGCAGCTCCAACGATGTCAACGTCAATATCAATATCAATATTAACATCAATGGTCACCGGAACGGCAATACCAGCATCAATGTCAACGGTACTGGGACCGATACTGAGACTGATACCGACTTCCCCTGCGACAACACCCGCAATAACGAGCCGGACCAGGAGTACGATGCTGACGGCGAATCCTCCGACCCTCTTGCTCTGGACACGATTATTCCGAACGAACGAGCCAATCCGAGCTCTCCTGAGCCTGAAGCTGATAGTGGTTACGAAGAGGGTAACTGAGTGTCATGATATGGATTAAATATGACCTTTATGGCTTCGGTGGTTAGGGCTTGTCTGCGCTGTCGTCTGGGTATGGACGTGCGTTCCTTCCTGCGCTAATAGTCCCTGGAGCTAGGTATATGGGTATTGTGTTAAAGAAATCTGGGGATTAAATTATTTTTAAGTGATGAGTATCTAATCATTTGTTATATGTGGGAATATATGAATGCTGTTGGTACGGGTGGGCACTCGTGGGCGCTGAATGTACAGTACTTAATTTCTATCTTGAAGATGACCTGCTGGGAGATACACGGACACAATGAAAGGAATGGTTGATGAACGATTTTCAATTGCACAGTTGTAAAGAGTGTGGCCCTTAAGCAATAGAGAATGGCAATGGATACGTCAATATCAATACATATCCACCACTCTACAACCCACTATCTCGACATTTTAAGCCAGCTTAAGCAGCGTAAACAGCAGCAGCAGCAACAGCCGCAGCACCAGCAATTGAGCACTTCATGTTCGAAGCAGCGCCAGTGTAGAGAGGTGGCGCGCTAGACGAGCCGGAGTTGCTAGACGACGCAGAAGCAGACGGGATAGCGCCCGAAGAAGAGCCCGTAGCCACAGCTGACGAGGAAGCAACAGCCGATGAAGGGGTGTCACCGACAGCAGAAGAGTCAGACGACGCGGTAGCCGTAGCTTCAGAGCGGCTGACGTTACTGCCGCCAACCGGGGGGAGGGAGATGGGGTGGCCAGCTGCGGAGCACTCCTGGACGACGGCGCTGGAGACGGCTATTTTATTCTGTTAGCTTTTGGCTATTGGAAATTGATGGATGGGGGATTGCATACCTGACTGGTCAGCTTCGCTACAGGCTTTCTCCACGCAGGGGGTGATTTCCTGGGGGAGCTGGGGCTTAGTGCAGTGGCAGGCAAAGTCGGTCAGCTCGGAGCATCCATCGTTGCTTAGGGAATCGAGAAAGCATTGAAGCGAGCAGGAAGGGACGTCAGGGATTTGAGCGCTGGCGAGGCCAGTGGCGGCGAGAGCAGCAACAACCTGAGTGAAACGCATTTTGACTATGTCGTTGGTTAAGGATAGAGACCTGAAGTACTGTAGAGTGACAGTTGGATGGTTTATAACGAATGACTGACTGTTTCTGAACTGAGAAGATAAGAAAGGCCGAGGAGAGGACCCTTTTATAACCGAATCGGCCTGTTCCTGGTTGATTGTGTTACCCAAAGACAGAAAGTTAAAATAATCATATGTAGCCGTATATTTGGAATGCTAGCAGCGGCGGATTCTTTTGCCCTTGCACAGATTTGAGGCGACTATTCCCGGTCCACACTCGAAAAGGAGGATCTCCCAGCTGCAGCTGATTGAATGGGATCATGGTTCTCACGCCACCCTCGTTCAACCTCGATACTGGGATGCTGGAAATAGGTAGCAGACAAAGGACCAGTCAGTGGTCGATGTCGGCTGCAGTAGAAAGTCAAATCGACACAAGCTTCTGGGACTCGAGCTCACGTAGTTTCCGGTTTTTTCTCAAAAGTTGCATGGAGCCTGCATAGTGACTGGATGGTCGATTCTGCAAACAACATTAGTTGGTAGCAGGTGCAGTGAGCACCCCACAGCCAAACCAAACGAAGTACTCCGTACAGCTAAGATTCGAAAATCCGGGGAATAGGTCTAATTTCCAATTAAAGCCTGCAGGTTGCACAGCATTATCGCCCGGTGTATCCAACCGAGCGAGTCAGAATGCGCCGTTGAGGCCCTGACGAATCCATGTTACAATTTCGATGCAACTGTACAAGGACACATAAATGGTGCATAATACTAGACCCTGGGGACGACTCAGCCAAGAGAGCTCAAGGGGTGATCCATGCGCATTGGACATGGATTTTGATAGTCGGGGGTTTTTTTGTACTTACATACGGAATAATACCGTAATTTGACATTGTCCTCGTTCTTTGTCCGCACGACCACCACGGCCTTCTGGAATTTGGACAGTACGTTTCCCATTCTGATGATAAGCATTGCCGGTTATTCGGGGGCAAAAAAACATCCACATAACAGAGAGTGCCTGTGTTGGACAGATTCGCTTTTTCTAGAAATAAGCCCGCAGTAACAAACGTAGGCGACAGGGTCGATACAGCGAATGTAACTCCCATAAATAGAAATCTGAATGTATGTTGTCGGACATCAGCTATTCCCACGGATGCCCGTGAAACGCTCGGGCTGGCCTAGTCCTGGCCTTTGTTGGTAATCCTTTGACGGGATTTGTTTCCAGAATGATCCAGAAGACAGCATTGTTTGATATCTTCGTCTAAGAGAGGTTGCAGTGGCTTCTATCCCACACGTAGCTGCATGTGCACTGCCGGGTTGCGCTGTTTGTTTTAAAGGATTTGAGGGCAAACGGGTACAGAGTAGAGCTCTGATAATGTGTTGGGGTTAGCGCAGGTAGATTTCAATAATTAACGCCCAAGGGATTCTTTCACCTTGGATGAGGCATTTTTGGGCCTTCTAGCGGCTTTCTGGAAGCCATAGGGGTTGAATCCCGTTGCTGATCAGATGCTGATAATCTAAATAGCTCAATTTGTGATCCATTGGGCTGATATTGACGGTTTGTGGATGGAGATTGTTGTCGACGGTCAAAAAATGTTGGAGGAACGTTGCCCGGAAGATGGAGAATGGACTATATAGATAGCACGCCACCACCATGCGCACTTCCGTAATCTTCGAAACAAAGGCCCGGTCAAAAGCAGATTATAATCAATTAACGAGTACGGCCATGTACAATATCCTCCAATGTCTTCGTAAATATAACCATAACGCCAGTCCTACCAATAGTGTACAGATCCATGTTCATCTCCATCATCAAAATGTGATTACCCACATCACGACATAAGTTCATCCATATACGCCCTCTGCTTCACATCATCCTCATGCTTCAACAACACTGCCAGAACCTCAAGAGGAGGGTTAAGATTCAACATATTCGCACGTCTCCAGCGCTTAATCCGAGCGATCCCTATGCACGGCTACAACAGTTAGCCACGACCGAAACCAATCAAACAGTAACAATATTAACATACTCCATATTGACTCGACAAATCAAAATGTCGTAGGATTTTCTCATGAAGTCCAAGTTCTTCCTGATGCACCCTAGGCGCCCTCCTCCCCTCCTCCTCACCCTTCCAATACCGTACCAAATCCCCCTCCGAAACCTTCAACGCCTTCTTATCTTCCTCACCCCATGGCTGTTCCTTTGTTTCAACCTTTGCCTGTCCCCTAACCACAAGCTCCGCTGTATGCGGTTCCGATGGCTTCGCGGGGGTAACCGGGAGTTGCTGTGGCTCTGCGACATCGTTTGATGGCTGGGTTTTATCGGGCTTGTGCGCCTCAGGGACGACGGAGGGAGCTGATTTTAGGGTCTTTGACTTTTGAGATGTCGGAGTTGAGGCTGTGGGTTTGGTGACTCTAGCGTTGGAGCCGAAGGAGAGGGTGGATTGGTTTGCGGTGGAGGGGTTGCCGGTGCGGCGGCGGGTAGGGGGCATTTTTTTTGGTGGCCTTATAGCCCTGGAGTTGTTTGAGGGCGGTTGTAGTTCGCTTTGGTATAGCGTTGTGATGGATAGCGATAGCCGGAGAGAAGGTGGATGAATTCATCCAGATCGGGCTGTGGGGAAACGATGTCATTAGAATTGTTGCGCCGGCAACGGCATACAGAGGACGACCATGGGATCTAGATATGGAAACCCAGCAACATGTTCATTTATGACTTTGTTTTCTGGCTAGACTCATTATTTAAATAAAAAGACTGTAATGGCTCTTAGCCATGACATTTTTTGCGCAGAGTGATGCTCCAGTCGGAGGCTCAGTACAGAACATATACAACAACCAGCCGTTACCCCTAAAGGTAGGTATATGAATACAAATTAAGAGCTATGGTATTACACATGTCTAATTGACTTGTAGAAACGGTATGAATATCAACAGGAATATGGCATCCTCAATACCTTGAGCATCCAAGATAGACGCAACCCACACATATCATCACATACACATACACAAGAGCATTAAGATAGAATTCCAAGTAGCAATCCCCCTTAGATCCAATGGGACCTCTCCAAGCAAGCAAACACCCTCCTGTTGTTTATCTGCTTCCACCAAATAATAACACAAAATGGGCTTTCCCACGAATGGATATCACGAATAGATACCATGCAATAGAACTCCGAAACTTATGCAATCGTCAGATAAGAACAATGAGATACCATGCCCGGCGCGTGTCGGGGAGCCAGTGTTCATGCTCCTATAGTAGGAGACCGGCTTAGATGGCGTTGTTTGGAGCTCTCTGCGTTGGTTGGTACCATGCAGGTATGCAGAACAAAAGCGACTTCTTCCGCTTGTCAAAAAAACAGTGGTACTCGGTGATCATCAGTCAATCAATGGCTTCTTTTGATTCCCGACAATAGCCACGCCTAGTTGGCTGAGAGCATGAGGATCCCCGGGACGCACGATGGAAGGTAACGGTAACATGGGATTATCGGGGTTGACATGGACTGCGTCGCGTGCGGCCTGTTCAATGGATTCCATTTCTTCCTTACAGCCAGCGTGATCGAGAGGGCAGACTACAATTGGCTGCCGGATGAGGATGTCTCGTGCGGATGTTAAATGAGCCTACGGAAGGGTAACTTGGTCAATGTCTCGCTACATGAATCCCAGTCTCTGGGAATGGATTCCGGGGTCTTACCTTAATCGTCAGGTAGTATTCAATCTTATAAAGATTTGCAGTAGTGGTAAACCCAGTAAGCGCGTAGGTTGGAAAGGCCGCTTTCCCTCGAGGCAACATGCCATCAGAGTCTCGCATGTCCCTGGCTGGAAATACCAAACCTAGGTTAGTCAAGAAGCCCGTAGGGGGCAGCTTCACGCCAATGGTCTCGGTTTTCTTCGTCAAAGTCTTGACTTTCCGCTGTGGCTCATCTCCCTCATGATTATATATGATCTCTTCTTCAATTCCGATGGTGATCTTGTTGATTGTCACCTTTTTCGCCTTTCCCATCCAGCTCGGATTCGGAGCCAATTTCACGTATACGCTCACTGGGTCCAAGGGCCCGTACGACCACCGCGGTAAGGAAATCCCCAAGGTCACCAAGTGATCCGACACTCGCTCTGCTGATTCGGGGCGATTGTACATGCCAAATGTCGAAAGGGTGTCATAACGCTCGAGCGGTACGGGGAACGAATGTTTTCTCTGATCCGAATGGCCCTGTTGTACCGTCACCACCATCTCGTAGAATGTCTCCGCGGTCCGACTGGGAAGTTGTAAACTGGCGGCGGGGACTCGTCTTGATGCGTCTGCGCTTCCACGTCCAAACGGTATGAACAGCACAAAGGGCAAATCCATTGCGATAACCTCCTCGTATTCTCGGCCCGCCGGACAGCGAAATAACAGCATTTCCTTTCCCACCACGTCGTTAATCTCTTTTCGCGGCGGGGCCAGACGTTTCTTGGTGACCGAATCGGCGGAGGGGTGGATGGATTCGCGACGATGGAGCGATATGGTGACGAAGGATACGTTGACTGGCGCTGTAATGCCGACACTCGGTCTGATCTCGACTTTTCCTTCTATACGAGGCTGAATGCCAGGAGGGGTTAGTGACACGCTCGCTTGCCCGCAATCCCATTGAGGATCCATCAAACGTACCATAGTCGCAGATATTCCTGGGTAACCGATTAGAAAATTGCCGTTCGGCGGGCCAGAAACTCGCACGAAGGCGGCCATGTTGAGAGCGCTGCTGCTGCACCACCATGGGCACGCAGCTGCGGAGAAGAGGACGAAAGATGCGCCCCGGGGGGTTGGCGACGATGCGGGTTGAAACTCAAGCACTCGGGGACCGTTGAGAAGTTCATAAAGGCCGTACGGAGGAAAGAGAAAGAAAAAGGGGGGGTATTCAGGGAGAAAGCGCTACAAGAGCGCTGATGCTCGCTGGACTTGCGATGACGCAGTGTTTGGCTGTGCCAGGGGCCGAACGGGGAATCGAAACGAGGACAGCAAATTGTCAGATCAGACGCAGGCAATACAGAATATGAGCTGAGGAATACCCCACTGGCAGAGAAATCCCGGAAAAAGGTAACAGGTGCAGGAGCCAACTAGAGTGAGAGAATGCCGGGGATGTTGGACGAGAAGTTGGTCTTGTGCAGAAAGGCGGTTGGTATGCGTTTGTTTATAGATGAGGCTCTCCGAAGAAGCGGGGAGTCTTTGTCTTCATTCCAATCCGTGTTCTTTCTATACTATACAACTGTACTGAGTGCACAAACATTCTATATTCTTGTAAATTTTATCATTAAACCCCTGAGCTATGTTCAATTATTGTTCTTTTGACTCATCTTGCGGCCCAAGACCGGCTTCAACTCGGAGTTGACGAGTAATGCACACTCAGTCAATCTTGAATTGGCCTGCTTTGCTTATTCTAATTTCTTATCGTACAAGGGACGCTCATATAACAATTAAGAATGACCGGGTCTATCCCTAGATCACCAGCTATAGATACTCTTCTTATAGATCATGTATACTTTCTATGTGGGGTATCCCGACACGACTTACACAAGGATAGCGTGGTCTAGATATATAACAGAGCCACACCATGCCACGATGTTATAAGCTCCTACCGTCAAACAACGAATTGTTCAAACCGGAGGCCCCAAGCGTACTCGACGGGTGATTGACCGTACCCTGACCACCGACCTGAAACCCAAGATTCTCTCGACTTGTAGGGCCATTGTTAGGGTCTGGAATGTATTCACAAGTAGCAGGTGCTTGACTGGTAGGAATGCCGCTATGAAATCGTTCAAACATTGCACTGTCTTGTGGTAGACTCGATAATGTTGAAGGATGCACGGAATTTAGACCTGGGAGACGTGTTCGATGTTGAGGTGTTGCGGCGGGTACGTTAGGTAAGTTTACGACCGCTGCTTTCAACAATTAGCAATGTTCATTGGATGGCAGGGAACAGACGAATCAAGACTTACCTGGCCTGGGTGGTTCCATTACTGGACGGCTTGGCGTGGCATCGTCACGATATCGTCTTTTTTCCGTCCATTGGAACTGCCAGTGCCGCTCCGTTGGTATGGATGGAGTTGCTCGACCCCTTCTTGATTGACCAGGTAATTGCCATATTGTTTAGAGGACGGAGACTGAGGGTCCCGAGCCATGCTCATAGGTCTGTTCGAGGCTGAAGTTGACACCTCGTTCCGTGAGCCAAGCGAGTTCAATGCTTGGGATACCGAGTCCGACGCAGCTGTTTGCATTTGAGATTTCATGGCTCGCGACTTCAAGAGGTTGTAGAGGTTTGTGATCTGGGTGAACTTTTTGGATTTGTCGCGGTACATCTCGAATAGCTCTTGGTTCTTCTTTTGGAGTTGTTCTTGGGACGCTTGCATATCTGGTTTGTTTAGATCAGTAGTGATCTTTCAACACCAGTCACTAAGGAGGATGTAGGAAACCAACCTGAAAGTCTGGCCTGTAGAATTGAGACCTCAGAATTGGCATTTTGGATCACCTTATCCATCTGCGTATTCAGAGTCGTGTACTTCTCCGTAAGCGTTTTCCCAAGGAACTCCTGATAGAAGCTATCACTCGTCAGCTATGACTTCAAACCAAGCCCTGTGGAAACTACACACATCTCTTGAGTCGTCTGATATGCCCAGGAAACCAACTTCCGACCTGCACACTCCATTATAGTATTCGGATCGAGCCTACTGAGCATGCTGGTTTTGTAGTTCTCTGTTGGGTTCAGGATGGTCGAGACCGCGTCGTCTGGGTTGAGGAGGGTGGATTGACAAGCTGGACAGTGACGGCCACCGGAGATACATTGCAAGAGGTCGAGTTTACCTGCGCAGTGAAGACAGAATATGTGTCTAGGGGCTCAGTGGCAGCCTTTGGGGGAGAATTGAGTAAGCAGACGATGGCTGACTTATGAACAGGTCGTGACAACTGCTCTCTCTCTCAGTTGAGTGCGACACTTGAGTAAATTGCACCTGAGATAGAAATTCATAGTGACTGGTTGATTTGGCGCAGTTTCTTGATGTCCTGCGACGATGGGAATTGTAGGAAGAAGAAAGCGGGAGAGTGGTGAAGCTCTAGGCGACCCAAACCAGTACGGGATATCGTGACAGATACGAAATAGGTGCAAATTCGCCCCAATTGAACAGTTTTTTTTTTTTGACTAAATCATCTGTAGTATGTCCTTGAATAAAACAGACCTGTCTAAGCAATGAGTCTATATGCCCTAAACCTTACCAACACCCTTAACTGATCAAAAGAAGAATGTATTCCCTTGAGCATCGCGCCTTGTCGAGGTCATCTTCTCTTCAAACTCCTCCCCTGGTTCATACTCATGCCATAAACTGGCAGGGAAGATATGCTTATTCCGCTCATACCATCGCCTATCAACAACCTTCGTCAACGTGGGGTCTTTATCAGCGCCTTCCAGTTGCTCGTCACTTGGCCGTGGTAAAGGATCGTCGGTCTCTGGTGCTGGGGTTGGTTTATTGGAGTAGTCAAACAGTAACCCGCCGGACTTTGATAAGTTAGGTACTCGATTGGCAATAAAGTAGTACAACTCGTAATGCTAGAATCAAGTTAGCAAATGCCTCTTTGAGCTATGTCATTTCGCGATGAATCACTTACATGGGGTACAATTATCTCTCCCTTTACCAGCATCAAGTCGTCAACGCTGACCCTTGCCCATTCACGGCGACCTTTGGCTGCTCCTTTCCAAGCTCCTTTTCCACCCACTCCCAACTCGGCCCCGACCTTTCGACACCGGTCCAGAAACAACCATACTGGATCTCCTTTCTTAACTCTCACGGAGCCAGCGGGAATATTCGTGCCGTCGTAGAAAATAAAGGGTATAAGTATCTCCGTATGCTTGACAGCCTCCTGCATCGCCAGAAATTCTTTTCGAAGAGCGTCCCGAGTCTGGGCCTCTGCTTCTAACGCAGCCTTCGTCATTGCTTTCGGAGGTGGTGGTGCGTTCGGATTTGGCGCAATTCGTCGCGACTCCTCTACAGGCGTTTTCGAGACTGAGCGAGATGGCTGCGGCGTAGCAACGGAGTCGTCACCGGTATCATCATTCTCATCGTCGGCGAAAGATAGCTTGCTTTTCGCTAACTGCTTCTTTTTCTTCTTCTTCGGAGGTGCCTCGGACGGCGAAGCACTGCCTTTGCGGTTAGTGAACCGGGACGAAAGTGAACGGGACGAAATGGTAGCCTTGGACTCACCCGTCAGTCACATCACTTGTGGAAGGAGTTGCGCTTCTTGAATTACCAGATGTCACCCTCCCCAATGACTTGTCATGCGCCTCACGTTCTTTCTGCTCCAGGACCTCTGCGCGACGTTTGCGAAAGTCGGAAAGATGGACAAGACCAACGGTCTGCGACTTAAGCAGTTCTTCCGCGGACGCGGTTTGGCTGGTGAACGACCGACCGGCCGATGACTGGTTCTGTTGTTCTGTTGGTGGCATGTTATCCAATTATATTATGCCAAAATCATTTCAAGAAAAAGTTCTGAGGTGTTGAGGAGAAAGTTGTCGCATTTGACTTGACGTGTCTCCGGTGGCGACACGTGACCTCCGAAGCTTTCAAGACTGATCGACTAAATACAGTATCCTTGTTCAAGGATACTGTATTTAGGAGATATCGAAACTCAGGTGCCAAATCTTGAGATGAAGTTGACATTACATTATCCATCCTCTCCATCATGAACCAATTGGTAATCACTTGCAAATTCTGTTTCCTCATCATATTTCATTCCGTCCTAGTCTCTATCTTAGACCTTTGCCAGTGAGGTTAACCGACGATGCCAACAAAAGGGCTGACTAACAGTTTGGTAAAAAGGGAGCTTAAACCGGCATCAATTAGTGTTGTGGTGCAATGGAATATATAGTAGATATTAAATATATAGTAGAATATTCTGCAATCATATCATTGTATCAACTGTTGTTTCTTCGACATAGAAGACAAACAGGCCAAACTCGGCATCCCGTCTGCGCGATCTCCGCAGCTCGCATTTGTTTCTATCATTATTATTCTCTGCCCCTTTCTCAGCTCCAATTCTCCTCACTGTGATACCCAGACACCATGGAAGAAGAAGACGACGACTTCTATGACCCGGCCGACGTAGTTCCGCCTACTCAAGTGCAAAATAATCCACAACACGATCCGTCCAATGGCCACGAAACGGGCGATGCGGAGGAAGAAGAGATAGAGGTGGAAGATGACGATGTTTGTTGAAACTTGCGTGCTTCAACAAAGGGTATTGGGCTGAATTATCATTTTAGGATGACTTCAATATCATTACAGAAGCACCACCAGATGCGCCGCCGCCAGAAATGTGAGTAGCTGCTTTTCATCAGTTAGGACCATGCGCGCCTTTTTCTAACAACACTTCTCATCTTGCAGACCACATCCTCGCCATGCCAATCTTCGGAATGACTCCCAGCGACCCTCATCCATAGATGCGTCCGTGTCAAAATCCGTCACGCCAACCCCGAAAATAGAGTCCGCAACCCCAGTGCCCGCCGCTGCCAGACCAGCCGTGCCACAAAAACCGGGCTCAGCATATCCACCCGTCCACGCGTCGAACATCGATGTCCACGTGAACCCAGTACACCCGGCGACTGGAAAGCCGATCCTTTTGACAGACATGGACAACGATTTCCCTGCCGATGATAAACCATGGCGGCGACCGGGATCAGACATTTCGGATTACTTTAACTACGGATTCGATGAGTTTACGTGGGCCAGCTACGTCTTGAAGCAACAGGAGTTACGACGGGAAGTGGGAGACCAGAGAAAACAACTGGATGACATGCAGAACTTCATGAGCATGGGAATGCCGCCAATGCCCGGTGGTCCCCCACCGGGACCTGGACCTGGAGCTGGCGGCGCACCACCGGGAATGCCGCCAATGCCTGGCATGCCCGAGATGTCACCCGATATTATGCAGGGCATGCTGACGGGCATGATGTCTCAGGGTCTAGATCCGTCATCGATGGATCCCATGTCCTTCATGCAACATGCGCAGGCGATGATGGGCCCACAGCCCGGGGCCGCTCAACCTCAAGCTCAAGGATTTGGAGGACAAGGTGGTCACCAGATGGGGTACGGAGGATATGACCAACGAGGTGGATTTGGAGGTCGCGGACGGGGACGAAGATGGTAGAATTTAACCTATTGTGAATCTTGCTTTTCTATAATTCCCAGTGACGGGACGGATATCGCGGCGTTTGAAAATGCATTTGCATCGATTTAGGATTTAGCAATTGAGTGTTCTTGCTAATGAACTGCTTGTGTTCTCATATCGTGGAACCGTCTAGCATCTTGTTCGGAAAAAAGGAGCCGGGCGTGTAGTTGTATGCTGTAGAAGAATCTGCGCACACGACCTTGTACGGTTCAGGAGGACCACCAGCTTCCTAGCTCTACTAGAAACAATCAGGCCGTAAACAAGTGTTCGAGAAAGTACAGATCCGTACAAAGATGCGATTGTTGTAGTTGAGGCTTACCCTCGGCAGTAGTGATGCTGGAAGCTGCGGTCTTGGCATTCTGGAAATTTCTCGCGAGTCCAGATCTTCTTCCACCACTTCTTTTCTCCCCCGGACGCTTTTCTCCTCCACGCCTCCTAGTCTTCCACTCCATCTCGCCTCGTCCTTGTTGAATTAATTGTTCCTACCCGGTTCGCTGCACTTATTCTGTCGAAATGGTACGTGGTCCTGGTAACTGGTGAGCTCTGGAGATCGGATTGCTTCTCCGACTCACCCGGGCAATTTTTCTCCATTGCGGGGAGCTCATCGCCCATCGCCATATCGTCTTGGCTCTCAAGACAGCAATTATTCAAGACCATGCGCTAACACGCTTGTTTTTCTTGAATACAGTCTATCCTCCGTAACGTCAAGACCCTTGTCCCTCTCTTCGACCGTGTCCTGGTCCAGCGCGTCAAGCCCGAGACCAAGACCGCCTCGGGTATCTTCCTCCCCGAGAGCAGCGTCAAGGAGCAGAACGTTGCCAAGGTCCTTGCTGTTGGCCCCGGTGCCCTTGACATCAACGGCAAGAAGATTCCCGTCAGCGTTGCTCCTGGTGACCACGTCTTGACTCCTCAGGTACGATAGTCCCTTGCCCAATGGCCGATTCGGGTTCTCTGCACCATTGATTTCGCGATTTTGCTTTTGGGATGTGGTTCTGACATGGTTTACAGTTCGGTGGTAGCCCCCTCAAGGTTGGCGATGAGGACTACACCCTCTACCGGGACTCTGAGTATGTGATCTCTCTTTGGTTTCTCACTGTTTCGATACTGACTCGCGATTAGGATCCTTGCCAAGATCAACGGCGAGTAAATCTTTCACGAAATGCAATGACGTTCTGTTGCTTTCGAATTTTTTGCCTTTCCTAGCTCGGCCCGGGCTGAAATATCGCCCGGGTGAGACGGGAAAAGGCATGTATTATACGATACAGTTATGAGTTTCGAACGGTGCACATCATGAAAAAACAACCAAAAAAAAAAAAAAATCTATACACTCCGGCGGATGATTCGGAATTGGTCCATGAGTATAGAATACTTGGCGGTCCTATTTTCTTATCTAATCCTTGCATTTATCTTTCTATTTAAGCGTGAATGACTTGTTATATGCATTTATGTATGCTTGATGTATTTTATGTCTAGCAAGCGGTCTGTCCCATGCAGTTTTGGTGGGATAAAAGTGAGTAATTGAAGACATGATAATCTCCTCTCTTACGTTCTTATATCTATTCCGATAAGAATGGCTGCGTCAGTGATAAATATACTTGGTGAACCTATATATGTTGAGGGGTTAATGCCTAAAAACACATCTGCACCAGTAATGCTAACAGCCTACAAGTAGTCCAATGAAACAGCAGCTGATGGACGCTCTGTAGCAAACCTCCCAGAAGGAAGAAAGAAGTAACCAGTTGAGTTATTCGTTAACTAAGTCACAGAAGTTGATTACGTCAGGATAGGCAGCACTGCGGGCAATCCAAACCCGGGCAGGCAGTCAGGACAATATGTCCTGGAGATAGTGCTAGCAGCTATTGATAGAGCACCTACAAGCAAGCTCACAGTAAGCTTTCAATGGATACCCTCACACAGTGGCATAAGGGGGAACGAAATGGCGGACCAGGCAGCAAAAGAAGCGACGGGATGGCGACTGTCCCGTGGGCACTGAGGCAGGATGGGAGAAGCCATGACCGCAGCAACAGCGCCCCGACCAGTCCAGCAAAGGCTTCTCCGAACAGCAGTAAAATCCAGAATCCGGGAAGCAATATACACACAATGGGAACATGACTGGCGGACAAGCCCACATGGACGGACAATGTATGAGCTGACACCGGCTCCAACCAGAAAAGTCCTGAAGATACATCAGGGTCTCCCATCGAGCACTTAGCAAAATCATCGTATAGATGCGCACAGGAAAGATAGGGCTCCGACACTACCTCTATCAGCGCGGGGTGCCGGACATACCAGACGGGAACTGCCACTGTGGGAGGGCCACCCAGACAGTACAGCACGTATTCCTGGCATGCCCCATCTTCAAGGATCTTCGAAAGCAGTCCCTGGAAAAACCAGGCGGAGGGTTAGAAGAGGAGGAAATCTGAGGGCAATCCTGAACACGCCCAAGCTCGCAATCCGGGCAGCCAAATCCATTAGGAAGTTCTAGGAGTGACATGATATGTATACACCAGAGACGGCCGTAGTCCGTAAAGGAGGGAGATTAATATCGGAGGTTGATAAAATCGTGGTTACTGGCCTGGTAAACAAGCTCGGTGCCTATTTGATGGACGTAATATTGGACTGACATGGCTCTCAGTTGAGCGAGGGGCCCGGGAATTGCTAAGGACACCCCCGACGTTGCTAGGGCGCCCCTAGTTAAGTAATCCACTACCGAGCGGCGCACCTAACATGAAATGCATCATTCTCCTATACCCTTCCTTCTTTAACCACCCACTATGCCACCAATTCGCTCCCAAAGCTCCCGAAATTCAATAGAGCAGGAGGGTAAAATTTTATTAGCTATAAAGGCTATTAAAAAACTAGAAATCAGCTCAGTTCGCGAAGCAGCACGCTGTTTTAATGTGCCAGACCTCTCTACGCCGCCGTCTAAACACGCGCGAATGGCCATAAGTTGTTAGAAACTGAGGAGGAAACACTTCAACAATGGATACTCTCTATGTATTTTCGTGGAGCAGCACCTCGGCCTACTGTTGTATGAGAAATGGTCAATCTTCTACTTGCATCGCGTGGATCTACCCCAGTTCAAACAGTTGGTGAGAATTGGGTCTCAAAGTTTGTGAAAAGACATCCAGAACTTTCAACTCGCTTCTCAAGGCGCTACAATTATGAGTGTGCAGAATGTGAAGATCCAAAGATCATCCAGGAGTGGTTTGATTATGTAAAACATGCAATCATTCAATATGAGATCCTTGATGATATCTACAGCTTTGATGAGACTGGCTTTGCAATGGGTTTAACTGCAACTTCAAGAGTTATTACAAGAGCTGAATACTATGGTCGGCGGGCTGTTTTACAGCCTGGGAATCATGAATGGGTTACTGCAATTGAGTCAATCAATGCAACAGGGTCAGCCTTACCTCCATGTATTATTTTTAAAGGCAAGGTCTTTATACAAGCTTGGTTTGAAGACTCAGCTTTACTACATGATTGGCTGTTTGAATTGAACCCAAATGGATGGACTTCTGATGATTTTGGGCTTCAGTGGCTTCAAGATTTTTTTATTCCATCAACAATTGCTCGTACGAAAGGGAAATATCTACTTTTGATACTTGACGGACATGGTAGTCATTTGACACCAGAATTTGATGAGATTTGCAGTCAAAATGATATTATTCCAATCTGCATGCCAGCGCATTTATCACATCTTTTACAGCCGCTCGATATCGGTTGTTTTGCGGTGTTAAAGCGATCGTACAGTGGATTGGTTGAAACCAAAATGCGCCTTGGGACCAACCATATTGACAAATTAGACTTCCTTGAGGCCTATCCACACGCACGAATCAAAGCATTTAAACCTGATACTATCAAAAATAGCTGGTTTAGTGCCTTTTGACCCTGATCGGGTGCTTTCAAAGCTCAATATTCGGCTTCGTACACCAACCCCCCCCGGAAGCCGGGGTAGTGATTGGGAGCCAAAAACACCTTTGAACTACATGCAATTACAAAAGCAATCCTCATCAATTAAAGCATTGCTCCGTACGAGATCAAGAAGCCCACCAAGTCCACTTAATACCGCGATAAATCAGATTCTTAAGGCGTGCCAAATTGGTATGCAATCAGCTGCTATTCTTGAGAAAGAAGTAAGCGATCTACGTGCTGCAAACATAAAGCAGAAGCAAAAGCGTACACGGTCTAAAAGGCAGATACCCTATGAAGGTGGCCTTTTAGTTCGGGAGGCTGTTGAGCTAATTGAGGCTCCGATTGAAGCCCCAATAGCTCCAGCACCCCCCCGGCCAAGATGGCCTTCACCACCTTTACAGCCACGTACGCGGCCTCTACGAGGATGTGGAATATGCAGGGTCCCAGGACATAGAAGAGAGACATGTCCAGATAGACCTAATTAGATAGTTTTCTTAATTTAATGGCGTTATGGTTGATATAGATGCATTTAAATACCATAGATGGGGGCGGGTGCGCCGCTCGGTAGTGGATTACGTTAGTTAACTTCGTTAGTTACTTTTCCTAAGGAGGTTAAGTATGATTTCAATTAAAAAACCAATACATACGACCATAGGGTGTGGAGAACAGGGCTTCCCGTCCGCTCAGCCGTACTTAAGCCACACGCCGGCCGGTTAGTAGTTGGGTGGGTGACCACCAGCGAATCCCGGCTGTTGTATGTTTTTGATTTTTTCTTTTTTTTTTTTCTGACATTGCCTTCTCTGGACCGCGGGTGAGGGTCCAAGTCAGGTCTGATGGAGGGATCGTCAACTTGCATAGGCGAGACATTACGATAGCGATACGTAGTCGATTCACCTGTATAATTATAATGTTATATTAACGCAAGATATAGACCCCGCCGGTATTACAGTTCGAATTGCTTCATCTTTATTTCTTATTACCATTATATGGTCGAATTGACAACAAATCCTCATCGTAACCCTAACCCAAAGAAGTCTGCCAGAGCCCTAAATATGATTCTGCTCGGGAATTCAACCAGATTGTTGGTATACAACATCCCTGCAGTGTCAATTTACTTGAAATTCAGGTGGCCCGTATCCGCTTCTCAGGGGCTCGTCTGCCCACAACTGCCGCTACGCTACCGTGCATCCCCGAGAGCAGAATCCTATCTAGATCCCCTTCGCACCAAGAGGGCGATGAAAACGAAATACAATGGGATCTGTCTCGACCCGAAACCTCAATGAACATGTTGGCAATCATCCGAGACCTCCAACAGACCAATGACCTCGGACTAATCAGACGCCGCCTCAGTTCATCGTCAAAGAGCAGGACAATGAGGAAAAGCTACTAGCTCTCCCGGAACTCACTTTATACGAAGGAGACGACTACCGAAGATATCATGATTTCGTGCGCCAACTCGACAATATATTTAGTAGAAGCCCAAAGCGTTTAAGATGGAAGAGTTAAAGATTTAATATGCTCAACGCCACCTGAAAGAGCCTATTGCGCACGCATGAGATCCTTTCGTACAACTATTGATATCGACACTTTTTCCTTAATCCTTGCCACAGCCTAAGAACTTTCTCCTTGACAAGATTGCTCCAAGGGCAAACTGTAATATCCTACGATACAGGGTAGGAGACCTGTCGGCCAGGTAGGGAAACAATGCCTAAGGATTACAACGCAAGTAACAGAATGAGGGCAGAACTGATTCTGGAGGAAGAGAAGCTAGATACAGAATGTGCGTGTGGTGTTTTAAACTCATTCTGATCGGCGATAGTCCTATGCCCTAACTGCAGGGTTTTGACGCGGGGGTGCCTTATCTGGCCAGAGCTTAAGATACACGATAGGCTTAGGATCAATAGTTTTGAAGATTTTCCCTTACAGTGAGATACATTTTTAGTTTGTAAACTGAACATAGAAAAATACGGAAAACAACTGCACAATTTTGTCGGAATATAGAGGTTCCTTACCGAGCATTACAATCGATGCCTGATTGAAACCTCACCATACCTTATCACGCAAATAATATATTCACTCCTTTGCCCTTATTGCAATCGTTACAATCGCTTAATATACTCCATTGGGTAGTCTGAGATATTATATAGGATGCTAGGTAGCTTCGTTTATAAGAATCAGAGACCTACAATTTACGCTCAATACGTACTTTCAAACCTGACTAAGCTTCAATTTCAACACCGTCTCAGCCGTACGAGTCGATCCAGCAGCTAAACTTAGTAACCTAAACATTGTGGCTAGCAAAATACTGTACCTACTCCGTCCAAACATAACGATCGGAGAGGCGTAGTTGTCTCATATCGAATCTATCTATAGCCGAGAAGCTATATGTGTGCAGTCGCGTACGGATTGCTTCGAAGGTTCCGTGTATGCGGCATCTCGAGGATAACGTTCTCCCCTACAGTGGGCACTTATAGCAGACAAAATATGAGAGGAACCTGGGGCCTTGCCTGTAGTCCCATGTTAGTATCTCCGGAGCTTGCACTTAATATCCATGCGTTTAAAATAAGTATGTTGTAGCCCTTTATTCAGGGCTAGTAGGAGGTATGTCCAGAAGCCAATGTTGGTATGTAACTTTGAGCCAACCCACTGCACAGAGATTATAAGGTTAATTTTTTTTTTTTTTTTTTAAGTTGGAGGATCATTGCTAAGGAAATTGTATGGTAGTATCTATACTGCCTAGATGGAAGGTTTATACATAGCCCTGGAGGTATATTCCAAGTTGGACTTCAAAATGTAGGGCTGAATCACTGTTCAATAGTCCAGAGGCTTTTTAATAGCCGGGGGCATAAGGTACATCGTTGCTAAAAACAATCCACGTCCCACGTCCATTAGGATTGTCTCCATCAGGATTGTAGTCTAGCTTATAACATGTGCGCGTTTTAAGTTGTTGACCCAAATTGGTAGACTTGCAATCTTCCCATATAGACTGAATCCCAAGGTTCCAGTCAGACTCTCTAAAAACAGGGTAGACAGAAGAGGCAACCATGTTGCCGCCGTCAAACTCTTTGAGGCCCCATTCTTCACAGTACCCAGAGCTGTACCAAGGATTATTATCCCATTCGTAGCCAGCTATAAAGTCTCCGCAGGAGCTGTCTTTATAAAAGTTCATTTCGATATGACTCGTTAGAGGGAGAATGAAAGGTTGTCGGCGTGGCGTTGACTGAGGTGGCAGTCGGGGTTCCATGTACTACGCTGGTGCCGGTGGTTGAGGTCGTGGTTGTACTCGCTTTGCTGCTGGTGCTTGAATGTGTGCTTGAACTTGTGGTTTCAGTATCATAATCATAGATTGAGGAATATACAGCTTCCAGGGAAGCTGCCAAACTGCTGGCGACCGCGGTGTCAAGAGTAATTTCAGGATTCCAATACTCTGTCCAGGCGGTCAAGTCGGCTTCAGAGATTGTAGTGGTGGTGGTTGAGGCCTCGGCACTGCAAGCAGTAATGGTCTCGCAGCTGGTAGAGGTCTTCGTTGTGTATGTCGAGGTAGGTGTGACGATACTAGAGTAAACACTCTCAGTGCAAACTTCAGCCTCATCAGCCTCGCAGTCGTCGTCGTCTGATTCACAGCCTTCGCCCGTACACACTCCATCTTGACAGTTGGGACCCGAGCAGGAAACCTTGTGGCAATTTGGCCCGGTGCACTCTCCTGTGTTGCTGTCACAGTCGATACCAATGCATCCAATGGAAATACAATCCAATCCGAAGCAGCCACCAGATCCGTTGCAGTCTGAGCCCTCGCATCCTACTGTTTTGCAATCGTCACCGTCACAAGACCCGCTAGAGTCGCAGTCATCGCCAATGCAACCAATCTCCTTGCATGAATCATCGATACAAACGCCGTTGTCACAATCGGAGCCTGTGCATCCCTTTTTCTGACAGTTGGAGCCAGTGCACTCTCCATTGTGACATCTAGGACCAGTACACTTAGAATGGCTAGCAGGTGGGTTCGGATCATCTGGGTCTGCCCAGCCCTCATTACTTTTTGCGTCATCACAGTCCAAACATGGACCCTCGCAGAAGCTCGTACACTTTGTGCCGCAATTAGCTGTGCATGTAGGCCCAGCAGATCCTTGAGTGAAGGTAACAGTGGGTGTGGGCACATCTCCAGGAAGAGATGTGTGGGACCATGGCCATGGGGGAGGGAAGATAGTCCTGCTCTTTGTGACAGTATGTGTTGTAAAATCTGCGCTTGTGATGTGTTCGGGGTTTCCGTCATCCGGGAATACAATTGGGTCCAGATTGATACTTGGAAGTAGAAATGTGGAGGTTTTCGTGACATCGCTGTCAGTAATGTTCCAGTTCCACCAATTGATAATACCGGTAGTAATAGGGTCAATTGTGAATGTGGTCGATTCGACCGTACGAGCAACAGTAGCAGTAACAGTAGGCGTCCCCTCAACTGTGACTGTGACTGTAGTCGTCCAAGCAACTTCAAGTTCTGTTGGAAAGGGGTCAATGGTGATCGTGGTCGTTGAAGCCAGAGTGGAAGGCGCAACAATGAGGTTCAGAGGAGCAATTCCAGTTGCCGTATTCGATTTTGTATCACCTGCAGCAACATCGGCAGCGATGTAAACATCACCTGAGCCATCACTGCCACCGTCGACGTCCGCACCAGACATGGATGAGTCAGAGGGATCAAGCTTGTTGGGATTAGTTGTGGACCCGGGACCTCCCTCATCCAATGTCCAGGCAAAGAGACCTCCAAGGCATCTGCTATTGGCATAATCGGCCTTTTGCTTCAATGTTTTAGCATTATCGAAAGAGACCCTGAGAAATTGTAAGTAAGTATTTGATTTCCTTTCAGTTGTTAGGGCCATACATACCATTGGTTATCATTCCAGGTGATCCAGTTGACTGCAGCTTGCTCATTATATGTCACCTTGGGATCATAGATGTCTAGCACTTCGGCAACTTCGTAGTCAGAGAGAATGCCACTTGATCCTGTACATTGGCCAGCCTCTCCCCCTCCACTGGTGCTGCCTGTTTTATCAAACGGACACCCGGGCTCAGTGCAACTTGTGTCGTTCAGTGTGAAGGAACGGCCATAGAAGCCGAGCCCAAGATGTACTTGGGCTGGTTCAATATTGTTACGCCACAATAGATCCAATCCTTCGTTGATTTCTTTGATCTAATATTAGCCACTTGAAAAAGGCAGACAATTATGCCATAAAACTTCAAGGATAAAGCTTACCCGTCAGGTTAGTATGTGGATTAATGTCGGATGATGTCCAAGCACTGTTACCATCCCAGGTACCATGGATATCGTATGACATGAAATTAAAGTGGTCCACATAATCCGCCATTCCTGTGACATTGAAGCCCTTGAGATAGTCTTTGGGCATATTAGTAGTGAAACATATTCTCCGGGCACTGGCACAAGCACGTACAGTAGGAAGATGGCAAAGTTGCGGAGATACCATAATCATCACCAAACGCCGTTTTCAACTCTTGAACAAGAGTAACAAGGTTTGCTGTGTCCTCATCACGACCGCCTATTTTTTGAGCATTAGCGCGGGCTCTATTGTTCAAAACAATCAAGAGTTGACCACCTACTTCTGTCACTCGCAGCAGGATACTCCCAGTCGATATCAATTCCGTCAAATCCGTAAGAGCTCATGGTATCAACCGCGGAATCAACAAAAGCTTTGCGTGTTCCTGGGAAACGAACCATGTCCGAAAAGATCTCACCACCGAGGTCCCAGCCTCCCACTGAAAGCCAGACCTTCAGGGAAGGCTTTTTCTTCTTCAAAGCGACCATCTGCGGGATCCATTTTTCGTCATTATCATAGGTAAACTTAATGGTAGAATCATCAGAAGAGATACTAGCGAAGGCGTAGTAAAGATGCTAAACAATTGTGAGCGCAACTCTGTGTTGTCATGTCCTAATTTGGACATACCGTCCATGGTGTCACATCGATATTCTTGGGTTCAAGGTTATCGCAAGCGTGTTGGTAGTTCCAGGCCTCGAAATATCCTGCGTAGACCTTTTCGCTAGAAGTTCCGGAGCATGATCTAATGACGCATAAGCTGAAGGTCCTATCAGGCTTGCAAAAATTGGTAAAACACGTACGGTTGGTCGACGGCATCACAGCCACTGCTGCATCCGTCACCACAAAACTCTTCGGTAGTACCGCAGAAACTGCTCTGATCAATATGCGCCATAACCTGTAACAGATAGACCAAGCGCTTACCCAAATTGTGAGCAGCAAACATTCAAAGGACAAGTAGAGTTGGCGACCGGTGCATAGGCTAGCCAAAAGTCAGTTGATTGAGAATACATGAGCCTGTTAACACTGCGTCCAGTGATTGAAAGAAACAGTAGGGAGAGATGGAATCAAAATTGCATATTACAAGCTTTCATCTCAGCTTCCTCCCCGGAACGCAAAAAAAAAAAAAAAAAAAAGGGACATAAACATAAAGCGACACAAAGAATCAATTGCCTGAGACTTACGGCCGCACTCTGCCTGTGCATCGCAATCGGAGATGCAAACATCATCGCCACAAAAGTCATCACCGAAACCACAGTAGCCACTCTTAGAGCAGCATCCCGACACACATTTAGAAGTTTCGGAACATGTGCCCGAGGTGCCTTTGGCGTCTTCAGCTTGGATGAATGTGGCCAGCAATGGCAATAAAGCCAAAGCTTTGGCCAGTGACAGACCCCTCATACTTTGGGCCTGCAAATGAATAGAAAGGGGTATTCAAAATGAATGAAGGTTGAAAAGAGTGTAGTAGAAGACAGACAAGACTTCCAAAGGCTCCCTCCTACATATAATATAATCGATCCTCTCCGTGTCTTTAAAACCTATCCTGCCCAAGTGAAGTACATAGTACTAGATATGTTACTAAGATAGACCCATTTTTGTATCTTTCACGGTTTACATGACATGTATGGTGTATTCTGTAAGTTTGATGGAGTAATCCACATCGCAGCTCGCGGTTGGATGGTTGATTTGCTCGTAACCTCCATCCAGATGTCTCGGCCTGAAAGTCGTGCCGGTCAAGGGATCTTTTGAATCCACAGCTCCTTTCTAGAGTTCCACCATGGACAAGTACAGATGCATTGACCTCAGCTTTGTCTCTTTTCTCCTATCACTAGCACAGGGCCAGTGACCATGAATGTAACCTTGCAACTTTGGAGCTGGTATGAAGTAGACACTAAGCCTAAAGAGATCAGTATAGAATCCCGACGGCTACTTTGAATCCGGAAAACATCCGAGTCTGTGTAGGCGCTTGATTTATGGAGAAACAGCTTTTAGAGAGCACACTTATTCAAATGTTGTTTTCTCAACTCGAAGTGGTTCCCAACAATCATTATCTCAATTATCTCAAATTTCTGCATTGTGCGAATTAATATCCTTTTTCATTCTTTTTTGAAAAAGGAGCAAAAGAATCAGGGAGAAAATTGATATAGTGATAGAATTTTACTTGCAGCCCAGAGGAGGCTGATTTCCATTATTGGTAAATCCTGCGCTCAAAATCTTCAAGCTCCACTGGAAGCCAAACCCTTGTTGATACCATGGGGCCATTTGGGGGCGAAGGGTTCTCTGATTAAACGCCCGTGCGGCCCGGAGTTTCCGAGGCCATGATGCCGAGCAATAGCTTAAATGGACTTAGCTCGCTGGAAAAATACAAAGTGGAGTGCCAAGAGCTCGCAAATTTGAGGCGCTAATTCGGTTCTTAGTGAGCCCCGCTCACGAAACAATGAGTTTGAGGCTACTGTAGGAGGCGAAAGCAGTCGCTGATTCACAACTGCAACCTCAAGCGGATCTATGTGCCTTTCTGATGGATTAGAACCGAGATATGTATAGCACGTAGAAAAAGTGGATAAAACGGGGCCATTATTGAAGAAGAAAACACGCATGCTACGGAGTGCAGACATTGATCCTGTGGCATTTGAATCCCATGGAAACTTCCTAAAGCTGTATATCTTGGTGTATTCTAAAAATTTCTCGAATCCCATCTTCGCCCTGTTCTATTCCCCCGGCAAACAATGATCTCTAACATTCGCCTCACGCATCTCCTCCTTGCTGCTGCTGCAACCACTGGCGTTGCTGCAAGTGGACATGGATGGACAAATGGCCCTACTGCAACTGGACCGACAGATGCAGACTTGGCCACAAGCTGTGACTATTTCGCCAATGATGTTGCGTCGGGAGATACTTGTGAGATGGTGGAAGATTACTTCGGTATCACTGAGACACAGTTTGAAAATTGGGTATATCCTTCTTGTGTTCTCCCTATACAATACCAGCAGCATTATTGACGATAGTGAATCCAGAACCCCGCGTTGAAAGGTAGTTCGACATGTAAAATGATCACGGGAAACAGCTACTGCGTCTCAGGGCCTGACGGGGTAGCCACCTCGGCAGTAGCATCTGGTACACCAGCTACCACCCTCACCATCAGTGGATCTGCTGCACCAGTTCAAACTGGAATCGCAAAGTCTTGCACCAAGTATCACGAAGTCGTGAATGGTGATACTTGCTATAGTATCCAGGACCAGTACCTGGACTTTACCCTAGCGCAGTTCTATGCTTGGAATCCGTGAGTATCACTCCTTTACTCTCCTGCCATGAAGAGCGCAAGGAATCTACAATGTACTTACAAAACCAATAGGGCTATTAGCACGGGGTGCAAGGGTCTGGTGGAAGGCGATTATGTCTGCGTGCAAGCAAACGGGTCGGGAACTTCAACTTCTACATCCGCGTCATCCTCAGTCTCTTCCTTGCCTACTCAATCAGGAGTCACTTCAAAATGTAGGTCCTTTGCCTCCAACCCCAGATATGTTCTAATGATGCTCGAAATAGGCAACAAGTGGCACTACGTTTCCGGCAATGACACCTGCCAGTCGATTCTATCCGAGTTCGATCTTACTAAAGCTCAATTTTATGATTGGAATCCGGCTACCGGTGTCAATTGTACCAACCTGTGGTTCGAGGTTGATGTTTGTGTTGGTGTTCCTGGTAAATACTCCCTCTCGTCCACGCCAAAGTCAACTCGATCTAACTTCTAATAGGTTTCACCCCATCGCCAACCACTACAGCTGCCACTGCAACTGCTACCGAGACTGGATCGACACCATCCCCAGTGCAAAGCGGTATTGCATCCGACTGCACAAAGTACTACAAGGTCGTGAAGGGCGATGACTGCCAGACTGTTGAGAAGGAATACGATATCACCGCAACTAACTTTCTTAAGTGGAACCCAGCTGTTGGTTCCGACTGCTCCGACCTAGAGGTTAATGTCTATTACTGTGTTGCAGTCTAGAGGCTCTTAGAGCAAGATCATATAGTGTCAGCGGTCTCATGCGAGATCTTTACTTCAGACACGTTGCTTTATTGGGTTATTGGCCATGATATCTGATTTGTCAAATATTTTCTATGCTGAAATTCGGTAGCATAAAATGAGTCTTCCAACATATGAGCTGCTCCATGAGTGAAAATTAACAATGGCCTATGTACATGAATTGAAGCTGGTAGTGAGTAGCTGGGTTGCATAAAGAAACTGCAAATCTATTATGCTATGTGAACTTTTTTCCCTTGCTATTTTTTATCAAATCGAGCTTTCTCTCCTACAGGTGCCCATTTCTAGACGTGAGGATTCGGGGAGTTTGAGCCGTATTCAAAATACGCTTCCTCTCTTTAGGCATACGGCACCTCGCCAAAGCAGCCCCTGCAGCTGAGGGGGCCCCACTGTTCGATGCAGCCGAAGATGTCTGCTCACGGCCCCCGGGCCGGAAGCAAAGTCTGATTGTGGAGCTCAATTTAATTTGTTTGAGATACTGCACTTGATAACCCTTTTACCTGGCGAGGTCCACTGAAATTATCATCAAAATTATTTACCCTAGATTTGTCGGTCTACTCCAGGGTTAAGATTGAGCAATGTTTAATGCGGTCCCTCCGAAGGCCTCCAGCATAGAATTATCAAACTTTCTGGTACTAATAGAAACTAAATTTTAGTTCGTTCAAGGGACCCCTTGCTAATTCGTAGCACATTGACACATGCTGAATTACAAACGTCTTCCCTAGTCGGCCGTGTCGAGCTCAATCAAGCCTATGTATCTACTAGTACATCTGGCTATGCAGATAGCAGCGTTTTGGCTCCGCAATAGATCCTTCGTTCCTGGCTTGCTGCCAATCAATCTCACCGGCCTCGGGGGCTGCCGACCTTCGGGTACCTGTGGAAGGGACGGAAAAGCTCCGAATCATGTTCGAAATTGCCTACAGGTTCCACTAGCTAAGGGATAGTAGTTATTTTCAAGGAGCAAAACTCTAATTACTAGGTACTCATCCTTTTTATCCACTTCACATACGATATTTCGAGTGGCTGAGGGTCTTCTCCCTCCACAATCTGGCCCCTTCGCTTGCAATTGAGTGTATACCCACTTCGTGCCCAGGTGGGGGTGCGAAAAGAGTTGCATTTCCTGCAATCAAAATACCGGTGAGGATATTTTCCACTGGAGGGGGATTGTGATATGGGCCATATTACTCAGTATTGGTATTGGTATAACAGCTTCCTCGACATATTGGAAAGATTCTCACAATTCCAGGTTTAACCCGTACCTGAGCATTTTGTACATAGTTGGTCCCATCCTCCAGTAGTTTCTAGTTTAAAACTGTCCACTCATTTTGAACAACTTTCATGTCATATATTCTACATTCGTTTGACCGAATCATGGGTTTTGGACACCCTGGACGGGCCTTGTTGGCCCGAATTGGCCAGTTTCTTCTTCTAGCGCAAGTCCTGTTGACTGTACAGGCTCACCCTTTTCATAATCACTCCATCGCGTACACTGGAGAAGATAACCATTTGAATACTTTCGTTGAGCGAGCCAGTGCCTCTGAATTCACGGCGCTGTCGAGAAACACTAAAATGTTGGTGCATAATAGCTGCACTAGCAAGATGAATTTGCAAGCATGGCAAACCGTCTTGGACGCACTGACCGTTGTTGTGAGTTATCCCGCTCCGATTCTCTACGGCTATGAGCACATATGTAAACTGAGAGGTGGCATTGCATCATTACTAACACCAATGATGAGGTTAGGCCCAACACGGGCAGCAGACCGCATCAGTTACCTACCAAATTATCGACTACTACATCTCGACTGACAATCCAACTCTGAATGATGACAACAGGCGGATGATGGATCTGTTCATGACCCTATACGGCACTTTCAAATGGGACGATGTCAGTGCAAAGACTGTAGCAAGAGCTCGCGCGCAGCGATTGAGCGGTAGGTTACACTCATTGACTATGGAAAGGCAGATGATTCCAAGCTTACAGAAAACTAAAAACTTCTATCTAGAAATTGCTACGATCTTTGCAAATGGTCTGGCAAAGAACACAATGCACTGGCGTTGGATGTGTGACTCGAAAGAATGGGTCGTGGACCCTAATGATGCAAGTAAGTGTATTCATGGAGTCAACTCTGATTTAAGGTACCTACCTATTAGTAAACTCACCCCCCGCTAATGATATATGCAGATGCTTGGATGATCAAAAACATGGATTTGAGTCCTCGCGGGACAAAGAAGACTTCTAATATTTGCTTGATGCCAGCTGATTCAAATGGTGTCGAACGGTCAGCCGCGGCCTTCGTGCTAGACGCTCCAAGGGATGTCGCCAATTATCAGCCTGACTGGATTACATTCTGTGACGGAGCATGGAGTGAACTGAAGTATCAGATGCATCAGTACCTCGACCAGGCAAGCGTAACCAAACTCCACACCCAAAAAAGTTGGATTCAGTCAGTCATCTATTACACATGGGAGCGACTTTTGGCGCATGAGCTTTTCCATGGAAAGGCTGCATTCGGAGCATATGCAGGAAGTGAGTGCTGTGCGATTCGGCCTTCGATATTGCTTTCGGCCTGCTAATCACCGAACTTTTCCTTTTCACTATTTAGTTGATTATAAATATGGATGGAACGATATCGTTCAGCTTGCGAAAGACAGTAATGGGGAAACTGATGTCAACAAGCACAAGCCTCTGAAAAATAACGGTATGATCCATTTTTCTCCAACATATCGACTTGAGAATCATACTGATCATTTCTAGATTCATTTTCATACTGGTTGAATGGTGAGTTGGGAAGGCCCTCAAGATGCTCCAAAGCCTTATTTGCAAGTTTCATTGGATTTGACTAACCATAAACTGTTAGGCGTGTACCTAACCTATTGCAACTTCAGCAACGGCCAGTGCAAACCCGTTAGCCAGCCAACAACAGGCAACCCCTAGAATCCATGATACTCCGTCTATGGTTCTTTGGTCATCAGGTTTAGGGTTCTTCCAAGGCTTCAACATTTAACGTTTCACGTTCTTCAAGTTCCTTTTGGCATATATCTCCGTCTCATCTCTGCTGCATGCACTACATTCTTTGACCTTGGAACTGAAAAAGATGCGGGCTCCACATGCAGTTCTCGCAATAATCATGGATTGTGGATATGTACTTAGGTACTATATACGTATAGGACTATCGATGTCAACTATTTACTTGCTTTGAAATTGAGACATATCCTCACATGCATGAGGATCATTTTGTTTTTCGTGCTCTCAATACTAGTATAAGATTCAATGTTCGAGGAAATTGAGACTCTGGAAGTGTGTCACAATGTACAGTCGGTGTGGTACGTGTAAGATGTCTTATTCAAATGTTCCTAATATCGATGACATCCAAATGGACATCTCCACAACGACTTCTCTTTTTTTTTGCAGTCACAGTCCAACCTATTGAATGACCCGCTGTCCTTTCCTATCATTTTGTCGAACCAATCCTCCATTTCTAGATTCTATCAGTAACTGCAGGGACCAAATAGGGAAGCACTACTAACCTTCGTATTCCTTTAGGCCTAGAATGCGATATCCCGGACAGGAAGCCTCTGGCCTCAAATCGGAAATCCATTCTCTCAACAAAATACCAGCGCTGCGAATGTCAAAATCCACTCGGCCACTTTGTTCGATTCCATCGCTGACTCTTTTGAAATAATAATAATTGCCGTCACAGACAATATCTTCCAATGAGAGTATTTCTAGAGATAGCTCGTTCTGTAAAATGTCTAAAAGGCTAGACACACAAGTCACCTTTTGTTCGTTGCGTTTCCATGCCATTCGGGTTTCCAAGGTCGGGCAGACTGAACCAGCAAGTTCAGGTGGAGAATATGGGTGATAAATGGATGACCGGTTTGCCATTAGATATTCATTTGTCATTGGCTCAGATGATTCGGAAATCGAGGAATGTTGTGGGGATGGGGGAACGCTTTCTGGTAGTTCCGGTTCGGCTGCTGGCGGCGGAGCTGGTGTGTACGATGGCGATGTTGGTTGAAATGATGGCGACGTTGGTGAAAATAATGGCAGTGTTGGCTGAATGGATGGCAATGTTGGTACAAACGACGGCGATGTTGGTCCATACGATGGCGATGTTGGATGAAAGCCTGGTGAAGTGGGAACAAATCCAGGGCCGTCAGGTGTGTAGGTAGGCATTAACGGGGTAGAGCTTTGATTTTCTTGGTGGTTGGGGGATTCCTTGTGTTGCAAAGCAGAATCATCTGCAGCTCTCAACTCCTCACTACGTAATGTCACTCGCTCAAGTGTAAGAATGACCAAATTTTTCTTTACACCAAGCAATAGTGATTTTAAGGAGTTGAAATAGATATCTAGCTCATGAATATGAAGCTCCCGGAGTCGAGTGAAGTTAATTCCATGGAACATGTTCCCAACGTAGCTTTTTGCAGGATAGGCAGGCATATGATCTTGCGACAAAGTCAGTCTTTCCAACTGAGGTGCAAGGTTCGTGATAAGCTTCAGCCAGGCGGCCTCATTGAGATCAATACATAAATGAAGATCCTCTAGGCTGTTTAAAGCAGACAGTAGAGTGTCAAATTGTTCTTCAGGGAGGGCAATTTTGGGGCCGATATCACCACAGAAATTAGAATCGCAGGTATATAGCTTTCGGGGTTTGCAGCTTGAGCCACATAACGCAAGAAAAAGCTTCGATAATGCCAAAGAGTTCAGTTTCCTTATCTGACTGTTCTTATTGGTGTGGGTCAAGGATTGCAGGCTGTAAACATCGAATCGAAAATCAAGTTGGCTCATCATTTGTCGCCTTCCCAGGAATGAAACTGTCTGCTGCCGTGGATCAAGCAAAAATTCCGTGCTGTAATGTGCGAGTCCTATTGTTTGGAGGTTTTGAAATCGATCCATGCATTCCCGAAGTCGAACACTGAATGTTTCTGATTTCAGCAGGTTGGAATTATCCACGATCATCGCTTTGTGAACGGCATGTCGCGTATTCAGCCCGTCGCCTTTCACTTGTCGGCAGCTTTTTGATGATATAGATACCATGCCGATGGGCTTTTCAGTGCCACTGAACACGGTTGGTATCATCCAAAGCTCTTGGACGTGCTCGCGGAGACCAGTTGACTTGGATAGTTCTTCCAATTCGTGGAGACTTTCGCTTGTCACAATGAAACGGATGCTTTTGTAATAGGTTTCCGCGAAATTCTCAAGTGAGTTTTCGTACAATGCGCGGCATGATAACCTCAGAGCGACCCATTGCTGGGGATCTAGATGGTTACATATCTTTGAGATCAATTCCACGGGAAGAGATGCAATGGACATTTTGGCTGCCTGTGTGGCGTTTTAAGGTTGAGAACAAGAACAATGGGAAGAATCTCAGTTTTTTATATGCAGAAAGGGGTAGTAATCAGGGTCAATCTCCAGGGCTCCCGGTTCCTTTGACGAGAAAGCGAAATCAAGACAAGTTTTCGGCTCTGAGAGACAGAGAGAAGAGTATTATTGTGCAGCGCTGGAGCGGCAGCCCCCGTTTATAGGAGACCTCGTGGACCTGGGCAGCGGAGAAAACCGTATTCGAGGCCCGCAGAAAATTAAAATACCTGTAATACCATATCAACAACCTGGAGCCCTGATACTCGGTGAAGTAATAGGTACGCTAATCGCATCTTGCCATTCCCAGTTCTCCGACTTAAAAGATCAATGCCTATCCTTTGCTGTCATACAGTGGTAGTAGCAGCAGCAGCAGCAGCAGCAGTAGTAGTAGTAGTATTCATACGCTGACCCCTCGCCTTAGGCGATATGCAGGTATCCACTATCGCTATCTCTAGATGTTTCTATTCACAGTAAACCATTGCTTATCGACAAACTTGGAGCCTCGTCGAGGCCTGTGGTGGCCTTTTGCCTGGTGTTTTGTTCTGCAGCCTTTTTGACTGCGGTTTTGGTAGCTCTTTTGGAAATAAGATAGTAAGAAATCAAGAAGAACAAGCAGTGACCAAATCACAGCATAAACAAAAAAAGCAAACCATAGAAAATTCAGGGATCACTCAAAGGGATCTTTCCCAGAAACCACGCCGCGTGGATGGAGGGCACCCTCCATCCGCGCCAAACCGCGCCGCATGCAACTCTAAAAGACATGAAGACAGGCCACACTAGCAGAATTTGACTACCAACAATGCCGGGCAAAATCAAAGTGGTCAAAAGCAATCCGGGCAAGAAGTGGGTGGGGAGGTGGTGAAATACAGCTTTCTGAAATTTCCGAGAGAATATAAACGAGCACTCATGGGCCAAAGATACATCTGCTTCTGATTCACCGCTCAGCCTTAGAACTTGATTAGTGGTAAAATACCCATTCGTCAGAGTTCAGACATGGGCACATGGCCACATGGCTAAATAATTCTGACAAGCACAAGCAAGTTGCCCATTTCGAATTTTCCCCATGTCTATTCATACTATCGTCATCTTAGGTGAATGGTGATGTACCGATCGTCCGGTCCTTTCGCATTCTCCGACTTGGGCAAATTGAGGACTCTCATGAACCTTTTCAAGATGAACAAGACTACATACACCCTGTAACATACCCATCCATACATGTCACAATACATACAGTACAGAACGTCTACACTGCCACTTTTTGTGGCTTATTGTATATAAAACGCTGGTTTTACAGGTCTTATTTACAAGTAGTAATATGGTTACATAAATTACATACACAACAACTCCTTAATACAAGCGTAAAACAAGTATTACGAACTCGGAATAGTAGATCCTAGCGAACTGTATTCTTATTTATACTATTGTAGCCATCGACGAGAATATCGAATTTGAGGAAGAAGAGGAAGAAGAATTCTATCTACAAGAAAGGGGCTCTTATATCTGTGCTGTGTGGCCTCGCCAAGTGCTTTTCTTTGTTCGTCGATATCATTCATCGAAGCGTTGAGCCGTCACACTGGGTGGCTGGGTAAGCCACCGTAATAGTAATCGCTATGTACATCGTCGTTTTACTATACATATCCTGATATGTTGTTCCGCATGTTGTATGCCCCATGCTGCTGGTTTCGTACTGTTGTTCCTGTGGTCACGAAGATCCATGGGCTTGTTGGATACTGTCTCGTTTCCTTTCCTACTTCTGCAAGTGTATACCCCTGGCGGTGCTATGCCGCCGGTTTGCTTCCTGTCCGTCGCTGCGACTCGGTATGTGGTTGGTAAAGTCTGAAACTGGCTTAGAAGGCCTGCCTCGAGCATGAATCGCACTGCCTTCGGTAACAGGTCCGGCCATGTTAGGTAGGCCCTGTAATCTAGCTCCCGCCTCGACCCTTGTACAAGATGGTGCATCCGCGGCCCTGCGCGGTTTGTACAGTGGAGGAGAACATGGCGTGTATCTTGAAGGCCATGTCCGCAAGAACATTCGGTCGGTTCCATAGTCTTAAATGGTACCAAGATAACTGGTCAGGGCGATCTTCCTGGTTTGCATTTGAATAAGGGCTGATGTAGCAGCTCTCCGTAGGCCTTGGTATAGCTGCATCTGTGCTTTTGAATGTTCTTCCCATGAACGACGGAGCTCCCGTGGGCGGAAGTGGTCCATTTGGCCTTCCATGCACTGGCTGCTTCTATGCGGAGGGTTCTTCGAATGCTGACCATGAGTTAGCAGCTTCTTTTGCAAGAGCATCAGCACACTCGTCGCCATATATACTGACGCGAGTAGAAAAGAATAATGCGTTATCAGGCTCACAATGGATAGTATGGGTAGTATTACGACAGACAAAGCACGGTTGCAAGGAATGAATATGATGCTACCTTCGGCTGATGGCCCGATGGACAACAGCACTTTTATAACACTTTGCCAGTAGGAATCATTTACTATTTTCATTCTAAGCAGCAAGTGTAACCCTTCTTCACATTGGTTCCGTGGTCTTAGTATTTTCCGCAGCTTGCTTGCTCCAAGGATTTTTCAGACTCCTTGGAGTGATAAATACTGATACGGGACTCTTTTTGGTCTCGTAATTGGAAGGAATATAATCTAAATCCCTTAACGAGGAACAATTGGAGGGCAAGTCTGGTACCAGCAGCCGCGGATCCAGCCCTGGCCTGGATCCTAAGATGGCTGATCCTGTTCTTGAGAGCTCGAAGCATGCTCTCCGGACATAGGGTAATCTCTGGAGCGAATTGAACCCTTATGGGAGCTTAGATTACCCCGTTATTTTTTTGGGAAAAAGTTTTTTCTGGCATGGTAAAAAGCGGAGTAGAGGAATGGTGACCTCAATTCCCTGTTCCATTGATGACGCCACCGCTTTGTTGAGGGGGTCAAGTGCTACGAATATAAGTGGAGGCCGGTGAAGCTAGCATGGTGCGTTTTATTGAGGCTGTCTTGGTCAGGCTACTCACCCCTCTGCTCAGTCTCTGCTCAGTGATCTGCTCAGGGCATGCTCAGGTCTACGCAGTGAGCCAAAGGCGACGAGGGGTGAGCACTAGTACGGAAAGGAAAAGCCCTCAAGCTGTGCAGAAAATCAAGTTCGTATGGAATGTTATATCTATACAACATCAAAGCTGAGCGCCCAGCCGCATTGCCCGTCATTATCCATTGTAGCCTCTACTCTCTCTAGCACCCTTTCCCCAATGAGCCCTGCAAACAGACGTCTTCGCGTTTTAGTTGACATCTCCACAAACCTCGACAGTGCTGAAACTGTGCCCTGTTCACAAGTAGAATCTAAGCTTAGCTTTTCTTCCTCCCTCAGCACAAGCAAGACAACCTGCGCAGCAAATGGGTTCAATCCAGCATGACGGAGAAAAAGCTCCCATTGCGTCTCGGTTTCAATCATCATTGGATCTATACTTGACTTGTTGATGCTCGGCTTGATAGACGTAAAGCCAATACTCCACGGCAAACTGGTCTCCGGTAGTCGAAACGAATGTTTATAAGCTAGCCCGAGGATCCATTGCGCTATTGTCTCTGGTGCGGATGGCGCGATTATGAGTGGGATAATGGTCGAATATTTCGATACAGAGTTGCAGAATGCTGTGAGCGATGTGATGGATGCTAGCGTCCGCTTGTCAGCCGTCGAATGCTTTGCTATTCCTCTGGAGTGGATGATGAGCACGTAGAGTCGTTCGTATCGTGGGGCTAGGAGTATGATGCGTTCCCGAAGGGGTGAGTTGATGTCCTTGATGTCATCCAAGTGTGGACGTGCGGGTTTGTGGCCCGGGAGGTATAGCTGTGTCGTGGCTTGGGATGTTGTCAGGATTGCACCTATTGAAGGTGAGATGATGATGCCCGCTTCGTGTTCGATATCGTGGTTGATTGTGTCATAAGCTCGGTAGATGAGTGTGGGCAGTGGATCTTTCGTGTATTCGAGGATTCGTGTCAATCGGAAGTGTGACTTGAGGAGTTATGTTGATAGAAAGAGTAATGGAGATTCTTGGTTGTTCCTTGGTTATTGGGGAACATGCTGCGATGCAGAAGCGTTCGATAGGATAGAAAAATGCTCCTCGCATTGTATTACTGGTTCTGCGTATTGATTTGAAACCACGGCAGGGTTTTGGCGCTCAGTTCGATCATCAATTGGCTGCTGATTCTTCGTTGCGAAAAAAGGGCGCTCTGCATTGACACGTCGCTTGGGTGCTATGTCTCTCGTTGCCATAAAAGCAGGTAAAGAGCCCAGTACCGTGAATGATGATGGCGAGTTCAAGCCCTGGCTTATTGCTGGAGGTTGTATTGCTGCTCTCTTTTTTCCGTCTCTGTGCTGTTCTTTCTTGAGCCTGTGATCATATTTTACCGTCTTCCTCTTTCGCTGGTGATAGGACATCTGATCCTCCATATGTTGCTGCACTTGTTGACGACATGTCTCACCAAGAAGTGTTGGTCCGTCGGGTGTGGAGCTGTCGTTTACTGTGATATCCTGCTTGTTCACTCTCCGGTTCAAGTCGCACCAGTTCGTGTTGACAACCATACTGTCTAGACTACCTCCATACCTGTTCCCAAGTGGCTTTGGCATTTCTAAAATCTCCCCTTCGGCGAAATCTTGGGTTCCTTGTTCGACCTCGACTGGGTGGCCAAAGTCGATATTTCCATCGTTCATTGTCTCTTGATATGTGGAGCAAGGATTTGACTGGAAAGTAGATGGAAAGGATGTAGTATGCTGAAGTGCACTAAAGCTACGCCCAGGAGCGAGTTCAACTTTAAGCCGTGTTGAAACCACAGATTGAGCGAGGTTCCAAGTCGAATCTGGCGGGTGATATAGATCTTCTTCGCTTTCTGCGTTTTCCACCTCTCTAAAATCAGAAGTTGCGTACCCAATGGGCGGCGAACATTCTTGAAAGGACCTCACTTCCTCTTCGCGTTGCGCGTTGGAAAACACTTCATTTTTAGAACCTCGTGCCCTTGTACCTCCCTCGCTAAACTCTAGAGGGATCGAGACCAATGTGTCCATCTTCTGTAAATAGTGTGGCGATTCATGTCGTTTGATAGGATTGGAGGAAGCGGGACTAGGAAGCATTTGCGGCTTCGGGCTAGGCGGCGGATTGTATAACTCGTCGAAGTCAATTGGAACAAGAACAGGACTCGGTCCGCAAAACGCCTGCTAGAAGTCCAGATCAGTCAGCAAATAGGTTCAGTGATCCTCCCAGGAATAATACCTCATATGCCTGTAGATGAGTCTCGAGACAATCCGTAGTTGTGCTGATATCCCCACACTTCCTAGCATTCTGAATCAAAAGAAATGACTCTCTGGTACAATTGAGTCTCTCCATCTCGGTCTTCTTGTCAATTCCGTGGCACGTATTGAAGCACTTGGAGAATTTTGGCAGAGAATATGGTAGGCAGGTCTGCAGCAACGACAGCGCTTCATTTCCACGACGAGAACGAACAGAGCTCGTTAGAGAATTTATTTCCGATTCATGATGGGTAGGAAGAATAGGAAGCTCGACTTTGAGACCCTCGATTTTAGGTAATGACGGAAGGAAATGGCCCCAATAAGCTTCCACGCGCTCTGCTCTCGAGTGCCGAATCACCGTTGAAAGAAGTTGGGCGTCATTTTTACCCAGACTGAGCTTTTCGCTGTCAAGCTGTCCATCGATGGACTTCCAAGGAGTCGTGGTATGACTGTTTGAAGCAGGTGAATATTCATCTTTGGAGGAAGGGCTGTTCTCGAGTATTTGGTCGATATATTCCAGGGGATTCACAGTGGTAGATGGGGTTGCAATTTCATGAAAACGAGCGTATTCGAGAAGGGATGGGCCTTGTTTTTGATCCATAGGGAGTTCAAGCTGTGGTGCTAGACGAAAAAAAGCTCAAGTTTTGGATCTTACGTATGTCCTAGTTCAATGGGCCAATTTAAGGCCAGGAAGACCATACGCAGGCATACGATAAACCACATTACCATACTATACAGTCGTGGGGATCTAGATAAAGTTAAGCTGGTGTGGGTCACATGATCTTCAACTAACTGTCAGAATATAACGTAATCCACAGCCGAGCTGACCATACAACCGAGCTGACCATTTTCTCCGCAACTTCCAACAATCATTCTTCAACGCGTCATATTTTCACCATCACCATAAAAAATGTCTCTTTCTCAGGAAGCCCAAATGCAAATGGCCATTGAAGCTTATAGAAAGAAAAAAATCCGATCAAAATCGCGCGCTGCTGCAGTATTTGGTGTGCCTAAAGCTACCTTGCTCAACCGGCTTAGAGGAATTCAACCACGGTCAGAAACACGCGCTAATGGCCATAAATTAACAATTTTTGAAGAAGAAGTCCTATCTAAGCGTCTGCTAGATGCAGATAAACGAGGGTTTTCAATTAGACCTGAGTTTCTGCGTGGAATGGCACAAATATTACTTTCTGAGCGTACACGGGATCCTTCTTCAACTATTGGAGTCAACTGGGCATACAACTTTGTTCAATGCCATCCAGAGCTTTGTACAAGATACAATCGGAGAATTACACACCAGCGTGCAAAACAGGAGGATCCAAAGGTTATAAAACAGTGGTTTGAAGTTGTGCAGGGCACCATTCAAGAGCATGGTATACATGAAGATGATATTTGGAACTTTGATGAGACTGGCTTTGCAATGGGACTCTGTACAACATCTAAGGTGATTACTGCAGTGGAGCGCAGTGAAAGACCTCGTACAACTATCCAGGGGAATCGCGAATGGGTCACAATCATTGAATGTGTGAGCGCAAAAGGGATTCATATACCTCCAGCAGTTATCTTAAAAGGGAAAGAACACCAGGCTGCATGGTATCAAGAGCCTAATCTTCATCCAGATTGGAAGCTTACCAACAGTGCCGATGGCTGGACAACAGATAAGATAGGCCTTGCATGGTTGGAGTGCCTATTTGACCCATTTTCCAAGCTGCATTCAACTGGCGCAAAGCGATTACTTATTCTTGATGGCCATTCAAGTCATCAAACCATTGAATTTGACAATTTCTGCAAAAAGAATGCAATTATCTGCCTTTGCATGCCTCCACATTCATCTCATCTCCTTCAACCTCTGGATGTTGGTGTTTTTGGACCGCTTAAACGTGCATATGGCAAATTAGTTGAGGGCATGATGGCGGCTGGAAACAACCATATTGATAAAGAGGATTTTCTCCATATATACCCTT